CTGGCTGCGGCCACCCGCGTCCACCGGGCGCGTCCTGTCACTCCGCCGGGACCCTGCGGTGTGGGGGCGGCTGTGAGTGACGGGTGGGTGGGGCGAGCTGCCAGGAGGGGTGCGGGCGGCCACGGGGCCGTTTACCTCCCACCCGTGCTGAAGCAGACACGCCGCGCGGGGAGGCGGCCGGGACGGCCCCAGAGGGCCAGGCAGGTCGGAACCTGCTCCCATGGATGGTCAGGGCCCCGCAGGGTGCGAGGACAAACCTACCGGTGGGCCCCGCTCTGATGCACACGGCGAGCTCCTCAGGCAGGGGCGCCAGGCAGCAGCGCCCGCGCCGCAGAGGCTCCGACCCCGCGGGCGCCGGGTCCCCACGCAGAGGGGCGGCGAAGGCCGCGGTGCGCGCACAACCCGCACGTCCCTCAACGCCGCAGATCCTCTCGATCACAGCACACCCAGCACAGGGTAAATGCCATGTGAGTAGTAGTGCGTGTCGTTTAGGAAGTGACGACAAGGAAAAGTCTGTACGTGTTCAGAACAGATGCAGTTTTCTTCAAATACTTTCAATCCGCAGTTGGCTGAATCTACGGATGTGGAACCCACGGATACAGGCGGCCGGCTGTATTCCCGGATACTCTGTTCACACCCAGGCATACAAGTCGTTACATTCTGTGGCACACGGCCCCGACGTATTCCATCCCAGAATATGTGGTTCCATTCTCCTGCTTGGGGTGGCTACACTAAATTCCACTGGAAGTATGTGCCGTCATTCATCCAGTAAAATGAGACCTTTGGGAAGATTAATTTGGCTTTAGGGTATGGATGCGGCAAACCCAGGCACCCCACGGCCAAGCCATCTCCCCGAGTCTGGACTGTGCAGGAGGGTGCTGGCAGCACCTGTCACGTGATCTGACGTCTGACTAGGAGGCAACACTCCGGAGGTGAGGTGTGGGAGGTGAGCATGACCCTGGGGCTCAGAGGCACTGCCCCAGGTCTGACAGCCGCTTGCTCAGTCACTTGCCCCAGGGCCCGGCCTCCACTGGAAGGCACAGAAACGGCTCAAGGGCAAAGCAGCTGCTCCCAGGGCCTGCTGCCACACGCAGGCTCTGCAGATTCAGGGGCAGGGTCGGGATGACCGAAGCAGCAGGCCCTGCCCAACTCACGCCGTCCTCTCCACTGACAAGAATAATGATAAACAATCACCGAGTTTGGCAGCAGGCGTTGACAGCTTCACAGACGTCACCTGATGAGACCTTCACAACCTCCTCAGCAGAGGGGAAACCAAGGGTGACATCTCTGTGGTCCTCCCGGTTCCAGCACCTGGTGGGTACACGGTGAAGGGCCCGCCTGTGCTTCACTGCCCAGCACCCCTGGGTCTGCACTATCACCCGCAGATGCCAGGACGCGCACGAGAGCCCGCAGCCTTTACCATCTGGAGGACGGGAGGTAGGAGCCGTGCTGCAGGGTGTGGGCCCCACGCACCCCCATTCCTGTGGGGGGAGAGAAGATACAAAACCAACCATGGGCTTCTGGGGTACTTCTTTACTTTGCATAGTGTATGCATTTTATTAAAAGTATGCATTATTTTTTGTCATCAGAAACTTTTTTTTTTTTAACAAAAGGTAGTCCAAAAGCAAAAGGAAAATAAACAAGTCTCAGGCTACCTGCTTGGGGGAGTTTCCAGTGGAGAGCAGCTGAGAACAGAGGTGCCTCCACCCATCCTTGGCATGTGGACTGGGCATGGAAGGGCGCGTAGTGCCCTCGTGGCCCTCCAGGACAGAGACGGGCACTGTGAAGGTGGCAGGTCACCAAGGATGAGTCGGCATCGTTCCTCCATGTGCTGCTTTGGACTCTGTAAACAAGATTTTCTCGGAAGACCCCCTGGCACACTCCGTTCCCTCTACAGCCACTGAAGGAGTGGGGGAAGAGAAAACCTCTGCGCTAACATTACTTGTTTTGCTTTTTGTTTTTTCTTCACACAAATGAAAAACACAACTAGCACCTTATTTTAACTTAAATATAGTTTTCTATGAAAGACAAAACAAAAAAATATATAAAAAGGTCATTTTATTATGCCTTTTGTTTGGTAGGGTATCAGTGCCCTTTAAAATCCTACTATTCAAGTACAAATGCTTATGCTTACAAAGTATTTACAATTTCAATCTTGTTCCTTTAAATTTTAAAACACAACAGCTATCTGGTTACAATAGTTGACAAAAATAATAATAAAGACTGCAAAAAGAAAAAACCCGCCTTATCAGGCACCAAATCTGAACAAGGGCTTGGATCCAACCTTCTGCTTCCCACTGGGTGTTTTAAAAACAGTCTGGCCTTCACTGGAATTAACGTCTCTTATTTAAACAATAACCGAGTTACTGTTTCCACAGTGGCCAATTAGAATTCTGACAGTGTTTTGACTGCTGCCTTTATATTGTACGTTCTGAAAATTCTGACTCATTCCACGTCCTATCGGTATGAACCCTGCTTTCCAAGAAGGCCTAGACAACCGCGTCCTGAACACATACTTAATTCTTAAGTTAGAAAGTTTAACCTTGAAAACAAAGGCCAAGAAAATAGAATGGAGGGAGCATTTTTACTTAAATGACTATACTGAGTACCACGCAGGGCAATGGTTAACATCTAGATGTCACTACACCCCGAGTGACGAAAGTAAAAATGTCTTCTGTCCATATTTTGTACTGGGAACCGCTGAAGAAAATACACTTCAGAGACAAAAGACGTTTTCAGTCACGTAATAAGATGGGGGCAGGAATTCCACACTGCAAATACTGAGAATCCCAGTTCTGCTCTCTTAAAAACCTTTTGAGAAATCTTCCTAAATTCTCTTCTAGCGTTGTAGATCAACAGAGGGCTTTTATTTAGGCAATCATGTCTAAGACATTCTAAAATAAATACACTCAACAGTTTATCACCATCTGAAAGGAGACAGCCGATGCTTTGGAAAGGACAACGGAAAAGTGAAAAGGACGCACAAATTAAAGCGGCAAAGGAGAGGATTCCTGCGTATTTCAGGAGTAAGAACTGTCACTGGGAACCACACGCGAAGTGCAAGCAGCCCTCCCGAGAGCCGCACTCTCATCACAGAGCAGGCCAAACAACGAACACAGATGGCAGTGCTGTTTTGGCATGTTCAATAAACTGAAATGTTAAATCCCCTGTTTCTTCAACACTTTTTGCTTTTTTCCAAATTCCTTATCAAGAGCTCACAAATGAGCTCCCAGTTGACTTCACTAAGTACAGCCACATTACTGTCCACTAGACCTGCAGAACAGCACGCTCCTTAATGTCACTTAAAGTGAGAATGGGAGGAAACCAAGTAGATATAATTTAAATTAAGAATCTTTACCACATTGCCCAAACTGACACTTGGTATACAAAAGCCTAATGTAGCCTAATTTCCTGGACCAAATAGAGCCACAGCACAGAGTGTGTTACTTGGGATGTACCTTTTTGCTTTGGTGAAAACTTGAAGGTACAGAGACATTATCAGCCAACCAAGCCCACTAAAACTGCATTTATTGTCTTGCCATAGTAAAAAAAAAAAAACAAGAATAGTAGAAAATACTGGGCTTCCCTTTTTCCCTCAACAGCATACCTTCCACAAACAGTTCGGGTGGTTTCTCACTTGACTGGCAGAACCACAAGTGAGCTCACCTGTCTGAGAGAGCATCTGACGTCACACGTCCACGGTGGAGCTGACCAGGCCACTGCTGTGGTTAACACGTCTGGATTCACAAACGGGCCACCTTAGACAAAGGTTTCTCAGCTCCCCTGATCAAGCCTGGGCTAGTCATGGCAGCAAGGAGGTGTCGGTGACAAGCATCCCACCCTCACCTAGCACTCGGCTGTGACATTTGCCACAACATGACCCTTGTGTGGTCCTCGTGGCTCAGACCAGGCCATGGCAGAAGCATCTCAAGGTTCCCTGGAGCTGTTTACACACTCAGTCCACAAAAGCTTTGTCCAAAAGCTGGGGACCCGTCCTGATTGCACTGAGATGGGTCTCAGTCCAAACGTTTCCTTCAGTTCAAAGCGAATCACACAGAGGGTGGGGCCTGGGAAGGCCGCACTGGCTACTCTTTGGAATGAAAATTCAGCAACAAATTTCCCTTGAACATAGCTGGGGACAGGTCCCATGTATTTACATGGGTGTTGGGACGTTTCCCTCAGGAGTTAGATCGCATTTTATGAGGGAAGGAAAAAACCACGCTGGTTTTCTTTGGAATGAAAACCAATCTCAGGCAATTTGCTGTGGACAGGCTTCTCCTCTGTGAAGACCACGGTGTGCCCTCCAGTCGGGCAGAGAGAACGGAACTATGGCACACGCTATCCAAGACCATGTTTTAGCTTTAAAAGCCTATGTATGCTCACTGCACATTGCAAATGGCTTCTGTAATGTGCAAAATACTAGACACTAACAGGGAAATTCTAAATGGCATTCAAAACCCAGTACTATTGCTCTGGAGGAAAAACTAAAAGGTGTAATGATTTAGACAAAAATTTACTGTACCTTTTTCAATTAGTCACATAATACAGAAAAGGGGCCTTCAGTAAGGATCATTTTTCTTGCAGCGTAGGAGCATTTTAATAAAATGATTATACTACTTTGTTTCAACCGTAGCTTTCCAAGTGCTGAATATCTTACATGACATTGTCCCAAGGTTCAGAAATAAACGCAGTGCTCCTGGGAGGAAGGTGGTTTTGCCTTGGCTGAGAGGCCGCCCCTGCTGTGCTGGCTACTGGCACGGAGGTTTGGTGGGAGTCTTTAGCCTGACGGCGGGGACCCTCATCTGTAACTTAGGCTGCTGGCTCGGGCTGTCAGAGCTGGCTGGCACCTGGGCTGGGTTTGGAACACCTGGGGTCTGGATCGGGGTGGACGCCGTAGTCACCACTTGCTGCTGTATGAGTTTCTGCTGAACCACCTGGGCTGTCGCAGTCACTGCGGGGATCACCTGCACCTGCGGCCCCGCCGCCGTAGCCTGCGTGAGCGTCACAGTCTGTGGAGAAGCCTGAGCCAAGAGAGTCAGAAAACACACATTGCCCAGCACACTCTGCCCAGGGACAGGACAGCAGACATTCTCGGGGATGGGGAAGGGGTTTGAGCAACTTCGCTAGCAGGTGTGCTTTTATGACACAGAAGAACTATCCTTCATACCAAAATATGAACTCTGCTTTCTAACTGAACAAAAGTAGACAATTAAAATATTGTTGCTTTTAGACTAAAACCAGATGTCTTTGGGGAAAAGGGTCAGAGTTGGGTCAGGGGACTGATTTTGTTACTGTTGTAAAGCTTTTAATACTATTTGGTTTCTTGAAATTTATAAGCCAGTGTGACTTTGAACAAAATAAAAAAATTTTAAAGCATTTCTTTAAATTTAAAGCATTGTGCCATACAATCACATCTTGTAGCCACAAACGAGGACAGTGACAGAGCCTGACGGGCTACTTTTCTAGGAAGGCGAAGCCAACACGGTCCTCACAGCACTTCTGCTTGGGGACCACAGGTCGCAGAGAGCAGTCTGCTTTCTCAGGTCTGTGCTGCTCTAAAACCGCAGGGAAGTGCCTTTATCTGGTGGGACACGTCTAAGATTTTCTGTCAGGTGAACGATCCCAGACAGGAGCGCAAGATGAGACTCCTGCAGTACAGCTGGCACCAAGTTTGAACACGCTCATTCACAGTTTTTTTCCTGCCATAAAGAGTATCAAGTTTTTCCTCCAAAGTTAATGTTTTTATGTGTATTATGAAGACCAAAAGTGATTCTCTCATCATTGAAATTATACTTCCTCAGGATGAAAACCACGAATCCCCTTAACACGGGCAGTGTCAAGTAGATTAGGTCCGTGTGTCTCCACGTCCTACCTGTTGGGAGGCAGAGGCGACCTGCTGGATGCCGGCCACAGGCGTCTGCTGCTGGACAACTTGAGGAAGCTTTGCGACCTTGGACAAAACAAAAAGCCAAACGTAGAATCCAAAGGACTGTGTGCACAGGAGGAGAATTTTCTCCCCTTTCTTCTCAGTTCTTAATGCGGGGAAAAAAAAAAAAAAAAGACCAGGTGGCACAACGGAGCGATTCTCAGGGTGTGTTCACCTGAAACACTGAGAACAGGTTGCTCCACCTTAACTGTGAACGACGACTGCCTCCCTATTCGCAATCACTTGTAATTTAAGCTTATTTTTGGTCTCACATTTCAGATAATTTTTTATTTTAATAAAGATTGCTCCAAGTTTATATGAGAGAATGACATTGAGGATGGAATTAAATATCTGAGCATCTCGTGAGTTCTTGAGGGCTCTGCTGCACTGCTCCAGGACGGAGCCACGCTGCGTGGCTTAGACGGCGAGCGGAAGCGGGCGCGTGGAGGTCTGGGTCAGACCACCACACTGCAGTCTGGCCTGGAGATGCACCAAATTTCAAGAGTGGTTATTTTATCAATTTCCTACATTTTTCTTAAAATCGTGATTGAGATTGTACCATTTTATAAAACAAAACTTCCCGCCCCGTGTTTACTTTCTATAACCATTTTGCCGCAGGCATCTCCTGTTGTCTTGACACAGTAAAGGATCTGGGCCACGTGTGTCTAACGAGCAGTGCCAGGGACGCTGGCTCAGAGACGCAGAGCAGCCTCCTGAGTGCACGGCCGCTGGGGACCCCGACTCCGAGGGCCCCACCCCCTTGCTTGGTTCTGTTGTATTTATAGAACAGGGATGAAAATAAGTCTTACCCAAGATAGTTTTGGGGAAAATATTAAATTGTATGATGTACTTATAAATGACAAAGCTCCAAATAAATGTTAGCCCTCGTTATTAAAATTAATCAGAGGGCATTTACTGGTTCATTGTAACTTAAAATAAAACTGTGAATAGGATTCACTAAGTGCCCCGGTTGTCATTGCAGAGCTGTGGGAAACAGATATGCCAGCTACCACGAGGCCGGCTTCGGGGCCACGACGGGCCAGGACTGAGACTGTTACAGCACTGAAAATCCTGAGATGTCTTCAGTAAAATATTAAGAAGACACTTAAATGCCCTGAGAAACTTGCAAAAAGTAAGGGCCTGCCGGTTCCCAAACCTAAGCAAAGGCAGGACCCCAGGCAATGAGCAGAGATGCTCTGCCGCTTTTGCTCAAGAGCACTTGCCACTCGGGGAGACCTCGCGCCGTGGTCGTCGGGGTCTCACAGGGCACAGCAAACAAGACACGAGGCCTAGACCCCACTCTCAGGGAGGAGCTAACGGGAGAGCCCCAGGCTGCCCCCCAGCGGCCATCCTGAAGGGAGACACTGTCACCATAAAGGTCCCCAAAAGTGGCAAAGAACACAGCACAGCCCCTTCCTCCAAAGGGGGCCGTGAGGAAATCACCTGCCTGGAGCCTCAGTGCCAGGGTCGGGGGCCAGAGAAAGACACACAGGTTTACAGACCAAACGGACATTACCTGAGAGACACCAGGACATCAAGCCATGAGCCGAACGGCATGTCCAGACGGCACCCACAGGAGCCCAGCGGAAGCAAGACCCCACCTCACCCCAGGCCGCAAAGAACGCCCATAAGTAGAACTCACCCGAGGCCACAAACAGACCGGATGCAGCAAACTTCAGACAAGAGATTATCAGACACACAGTAACCCTGTGAAGCCCGACAACAAGCTATGAACAAAGACCCAACAGATTTAGGAACTTCTAAAAATAAAAAATATACAATAATCAAGACAAAAATTCAACGGACAAGCTTAAGAGCAGATCAGACCTAACCGAGGGAAAAATGAGTGAACTGGGAGACAGTGAGGACATCACTCAGACTGCAGCAGGACAAGAAGCAGAAAACACGAAAGGCATCGAGACTTAGAGACTAGAGGAGGTGGGCAGAGGCAGCCCCGACCAACCACGGCTGCGCATCTCCGAAACTGATGACAGGTCAGCCCCGGACTCAAGAAGCCACCAGATCCTAAACCACAGTGTCACAGTGCAACTGCTGAGCACCAAAGACAAGGTCTCAACACAGGGAGAGGAAGACAGACTGCCATCGGAAAGTGGCAGCAGACAGACATCTGCTTCTCATCAGCAACAAAAGCCAGAGCCAGGGGACAACATTATGAACCCGCCAAGAAAACAAGCGTAAGCCTGGCGTTCTGCACGAAGCAAAGCTACCTTTCAGGAACGGGAGTGAAACACAGGCTTTCTCAGACACTGACGGAAATCCCAGAGGATGGCCAAGTGGAAGGAAAGCCACCTCACGTGGGAAGTCAGAGACGAAAAAGGACAGAACTAAAATGCAGGGTAACAGCAGCACCTAAGGGGAGGCGGACAAACAGACCAGCTGAGGAACAGGCAGAGACGGCACTAACACCACACTTTAAGTACGTGTGGAAATTTTAGGGTAACCACTTAAACAACAGAAAGAGAACTAATAGTTTTCAAATTAGTAGAGGTGCGAAAACAGGACAAAAAAAAGAAAAAAGAAAACGAGGCCCAAAGGCAAGAAAGGAAGGAAAGAGAAAACAGAACAAGCGGAACAGAAAGTTCAAATGAAATGGAAACAAAAAATTCAAATAAATCAGTACTTACATAAAGATAACTGGACAAATGTTTCAGATAAAGACAAAAACTGAGACTCAGCAGCAGCGGCTGACTGCATGCCATTTACGTGAGGTACGCGTGACGGGACGGAATGGTTCAAAGCAAACGGAGGAAAAGGATCTACCAGAAAATTCTAACGGGGATGCGCAGAGCTTTCTTCATCTGAGGCAAAACAGGCTGAACCACCAAAGATGCCACTGAAGGTAATGACAGTCACTTCAAAATAACAAAACTCAAAAATATAAGCCCACATGCAGCTAATAATAAGCCTTCTAAAACATAAAGCGAACTAGAAAGAAACGGAAGGAGAAACACACGCACGCGTCATCAGAACGGGAGACTGAGAGGTACCTCTCTTGGTAACTGACACTGCGCGAGACAGCACAGGTAGCGAACATGGCTCGGCCGTGACAGAGCGGTCCCACACTGCAGACTGCCATGGAAGGACACAGAACAGCCATAAAAGCTGACTTTAATTTGGACCGTACTGCGAGTTTCACATTTCGAAGACTGAAATAGTTCAGACCTCACTCTCTGACAGCAAATACAATGGTGACTTTTCAAAGTCAGTAATAAAAGACAACTAGAAACACTCACCTGGAAATGAGAACCCAGGCAGCAAAAAAGAAATCAAAATGGACTCGAAAATACTTAGCGCTAAAGGAAACCCAAATAATAAAAGTTGTGAAGAGAGCTCAAGTGCTACTCCATCTTAACAAGTTAAGAAAACAAGTACCAAAATAAATTCAAAAGAAGCAAAAGGAAGAAAGTAAAACCCTGACCAGTAAAATGCAGCACAGGCAGTGAGAGGAGCATCGCCAGGAGCCACGATGCAAACACACAAAATGTCAGCGAACTAAACTCACCCATGCACGAGGAGGACAAACACTGCAGGACCCAGGGCGCTACCCCAGAATGCAAGGGTGCGTCAACATTAGAAAATTCAGTGACAATAGCCCATCACACTAGCACATCTGGAGAAAACCCCAGATGAACATCACACGTCACGTATCCTCCATGCTGGCAGCCACTGGGAAGCCTGTGCTCACGGCATGCTCTAGGGAGGAGGAGGCAGACACACCTGGACAAAGTAAGTAAATGATACAGTGTTTGAAGGGATGTTATGAAAACAGAGAGCAGGAAAGGTGACTAGGAAGTGGGGCTTGGAGGACAGTTGAGAATCCTCTCTGAGCACACCGCTCTGAGCAGGCTGGCGGGGCACAGGTGAGCACCACAACGGGGTTCCGGGCTGCAGGTGCAAAGTGTGCTGAGTGGGCGGCTGGAGGAAGGGAGGGACGGCAACACCCAGGGGAGGAGAGCGGGTAAGGTGCTGGTAGCAACAGAAAGTGGTCGTTCTGGATGCCTTCCAGAAGTTGAGCCTACAGAATCTCCCACGGGCTGGAGTGCAGGACAAAGAAATGCAGACGAATGCAGGGGTTTCCCAAGAAAGGACAAAGGTCTACAGAGACCACGCTGCCCTTCCTGAGCCAGACGCCTTCAGAAGGAGTTCAGGTGTGCACAGCTGAGGCTCGAGGGATGAGCCAGCTCCATGGGAGCAGTTCAGGTGTGTACACCTGAGGCCTGACGGTTCGGCTATCTCTGTGGAACCATAAAAGGCAGTTAGGATTAAGAAACTGGGATTGAGGGCCGGGTGCGGTGGCTCACGCCTGTAATCCTAGCACTCTGGGAGGCCGAGGCGGGTGGATTGTTTGAGCTCAGGAGTTTGAGACCAGGCTGAGCAAGAGCAAGACCCCCATCTCTACTAAAAATTAGAAAGAAATTAATCGGACAACTAAAAATATATAGAAAAAATTAGCCGGGCATGGTGGCACATGCCTGTAGTCCCAGTTACTTGGGAGGCTGAGGCAGAAGGATCACTTGAGTCCAGGAGTTTGAGGTTGCTGTGAGCTAGGCTGACGCCACGGCACTCACTCTAGCCTGGGCAAAAGAGTGAGACTCTGTCTCAAAAAAAAAAAAAAAAAAAAAGAAGCTGGGATTGAGGACAGTGATCAGCTGCACATATAAATGTGGACATCATTAGCACCTATACAGTCCTTAAAGCCTCGAGGCTGAAGGAGATGTCTGGGGAGGGAGTGTGTACAGATGCTTTTTAAACAAGACAAAAAACACTATAACAAAAATAAACAAAAACTTCTAGCAAACTATTAGGTCATTAAATATGAAATGTCTGATTTCGAATCAAAGGTTTAGTTTATTATATCTCAAAGAAGAAGCAGCACAATTGATCAAAGTATGTGCCTAGACTGTTGACACAGTTTTGCCATCTTAACAGCAGCTTATTTATGCCAGCAGCGAAGAAGCCTGGAGAGCCAGTGGCGATGAAATCACAAAAGGCATTTCCACAGCGACTTGAGAATGGGATATTTTTCCTTGCAAGAAGGGGCCCAAAGCCTGGAAGAAGTGGTAGTCAGTGGTGGATGACAGTTTCCAAGTCCAGCTTTGGTAGTTTGAACGGCGTTGTTTTTTCAACATGTGGTCTTGCAAGAAGATTGACCAATCTTGGCTGCTTCATTGCAAGCATCCTCATTATTTCATCTAATTGGTTGCAGTAGACATCTGCTGTAATTCATTGACCAGTTTTCATGAAGCTATAGTGGGTAACACCAGCGCTGGACAACCACACACCGTTAGCTTTTTTTGATGAGTATTTGGTTTTGGACTGTGTTTCAGCACTCATCTTTATCCAACCCTTATGCCAAACACTCGCAACTGTCAAAAAGAATCCATCTTTCATCACACGTAACAATATGGTGTAGAAATGGTTCGCCTTTATAGCATGGCAGCAAAGAAGGGCAAGCCTCCAGAGGATTTCTCTTCAGATGCCCGTTTAAGTCATGCAGAACCCATCTGTCCAGCTTCTTTACCTTGCCTATTTGATTCAAATGGTCCAATACTGTTGAAAAAGTTATCATCAAACCGTGCTGCTAGATAATTTGTAGGTTGAGACGGATTCGCTTCCACTACAGCTTTCGGCTCATCATCATCCACCTTGATCTCAGGGTGCCCACATGGCTCATTTTCAAGATTAAAATCACCAGAACAGAACTTCTCAAACCATGGATGTACTGTGTGTTCATTAGCCACGTCCTTCCTAAACACTTCGTTGATGTTTTGAGCTGTCTGTGCTGCTCTGGCTCCACAATGGAACTCATATTCAAAAATAACACAAATTTGACTTACCCACGGTTTCACAAAAACTGTTCTAAAAAAAACTTTGAAAGATAATCACAAGCCAAACTGTGTGTTTGAAAGACTGAGGAGTAAATATAAATATTCACAATAAAAATAAAATAAGAAGTGTCAAAGTGAAATGTCAGAGATACCATCAAACTTAGCACTGCAGGAAATCGGACATTTCATGCTTAGTAACTAACCTAAATCGATCAGAATTTTCTTACTCTAATGAAGGGTGATTAAAACAAAAACACTTGCAGCAAACATCATGCTTCACAGTGGTGTAGCATTCTGTCTGACCATTTCTACTGGCCACCGTCCTGCGGGTCCCAGACACCACAACAAGGCAAGAGAAAAGGTGTGAGGAGGATTGGAAGAAGCAGACTATTGTTGTTCACAGGTGACAGGAGCGCACACAAAGAAAACGCAAAAACCCGACAGGTAAACCACACAAATAAGAAGCTACCAAGGTTGCCGAGATAAAAAAATCAATGTACAATAATGTACAACCACAGACAGAAAATGGAAACTTAAATCTGTTATTTACAAAAGCATCAGGAAATACTGATGATGTAAGAATAAATCTAGCACAATCTAGAAAACTTCTATGGAAAAAATTAAAAAGCTTAATTAAAGCATTAAAGACTCAAGTAACAAAAGACATCGTGTTGGTGAATCCGACGCCAAGACTGTAGAAATGTCAGCTCTCCCCAAAATGATCCATAGAATCACTGCAATTCTAACAAAAACACCAAGTTTCGACAGTAGCGTAAAACCTCAACGAGCTAACTCCAAAATTAACGTGATGTGCAAAGCCAAGATCAGCCACGACTGCCCCGCGGAGGGCTTGGTGGGAGACGGGCCCCTAGGCCCCAGGTCTGGCCGCCTTGCCGGAGCGGTCTGGACAGGGCGGTGAGGACCAGCACCACCACTGAGATGGGGGCTGGCTCAGAGCCCCCGACAGAACCCTGCGGGATCACTGGAGGAAAGAACGGACTTTAAACAGAACTGAAAACAACAGGGTATCCATACCCATAAAATTAATTGAATTTCTATTTTTCTATCATACGCAAAAACCAATTCCAAGAGGACTAAAGACCTAATCGAGAAAGCAGGATTGCAAAGCTTTTAGAAGAAAATACAGGAAACTAACCCCGTAACTCTGGGAGGGATTTCCTAAGCAAGACACAAGCAGCTCTGCCCAGAAGTGAAAAGACTGGCACCTCCAACACACGAGGATTAAGAAATCCCACTCATCGGAAGACTCCATCACGTGAGAGGAAGAGCCGCAAGGGGGAGTCTGCCACGGCGCCGGCCGAGGACTGACTCCGGGAGGTGAAGACAGAATCGGCAGCGGACCAAGTGCACAGGCACTTCACACAAGAGGACGCCGGGTCCACCGGCGCTCTGGAAACCGCTGGATATGCAACTCCGCCCCACACGCTTCTGCACCCGCGCCCCAGAGAGGCGGACAGCGCTCGCTGCTCGGAGGGTGTCACTCACACGGCGGATCAGACGTGCAAAGCCCAGGGGCTTCTCCCAAACAGGCTCCGAGAGAGAGGCAAGCTGCCACACACCATGCAGTGTGATTCTGCGACTCTGAGACTCCCCCACGCACAGCTGAGCTGGGCGCCCGCCACGCAGTGACGTGCGATGGCAAAGCTGGCAGGAAAGCCAAGGGACCCCAGCCACCCCGGCGGAGGAGATGGGCGTGTGGTGTTTCCTCAGCCTGGGCAGTGTGCGGGGTGTGCGAATTATCCTCATCTTCGCACCTCGTCCCTCCCGCCCGCGTGTTGCGTCTACCACACACGACAACTGGTCCCCCTCGCTCCAACCCGCCCTGCTCACCTGGATTTGGGTCTGCACTTGCTGCGTCCCGGCCAGTTTCTGGGCCTGGGAGATGGGCGTGGTGAGAAACTGGGTCTTAAGGGCTGGCTGGGTGGCGTAGGTGACCTTCTGCTGTGGGCCCTGAGCAGCGATCTGCTGCGCCGTTATCTGAGGGAAAGGGACGCTGAGGGTTAGAAAACCTTCGGTGACCACCGCCCGCTCCTCAGGAGCCCTGGACGCAGGACCCAGCACCTGCACCCAGGCCTCCGGGACAGGCACTGCGGCCCGCCCAACGGGGCCCTCGCGGGGGCTGCCCCTGCCCTGCCCCCACTGCCTCTCCTCCAGGCCCGCCTAGCCCACGTGGCGACACAGGGAGTGCCCCTCCTCCTCGCCAGGCGGGGGGCCCTGCACCAGGCTGTGGGGTTCACCTCGACACTCTCCACAGCGCCTGGTGCGGGTCTGCGCAGTAGGCGACTGAACTTGGTCACAATTTCTCAAATTTCTCTGATTTACTTTGGCAGACACCAAGAAAACATTTAATACAGCGGTAACAAACGAAGGTGCAAAGTTTTTGCTGTGAAGTCTAATTTCCAGTTTTCTCTGCCAGGCACCACAGCAACTGCTGTGTCCGCGTCAGAGCCTGCATGTCCCAGGGCCAGCCTCGAAAAGCAGAACCGCCGTAACCCACAGCAGGAGGGCTGGCTCGCGGCCACCTGGAGCCACAGGAGTCCAGGGCTGGACATGACAAAGCAGGTGTCACGAGGGGAAGCCCCTGGAGGCAGAGACATGTCACAGCAGCGCCTCCCTCCTGCCCCTAACGCAGCACTGGCTGAGCGGCCGTGGGCACCGTCGGACCAGACGTCTCAGCCAGGGTGGGGCCATCTGCAGGGCCCTCTGCACCAGCCGCCCTTGCCGGACCCTCATCCCTGGAGGCTGCACGCCTTCTCTCCCCTCCCGCCACACACAGGCAAGGGTGGTTCCCTGCCAGGCTCCTTGCCCGGAGACAAATGAGGTGGCATTCCCAGGCCTCGACCAGGAGTCCCGCAGCCCACCATGGGCTGCACCTGCTTGCCTGGGCCTGCGATCCCGCAGCCACCTTCACCACAGTTCCATGCAGCCCCCCACCCTGCGCCTACACGTCCTCACAGCACCCCAGCTCCTCCAAGCTTCGTCCTCAGACAGCAGCATTGAATTTTAAAAGGAAGGAAAAACCCAACAACACTGAGCACACTAGCACATCCACCCTCAAAGCTGTCCTCAGAAACCTGAGTGCTCCCTGAGGACCAGGCAGGGCTCAGCGGAGACCCCCATACCTTCTGGGGCACGGCTGCGGGGCCCTGGGCGACCTGCGGTTGGATGGCCTTCTGTGGCGGGACGGCCTGCTGCTTCAGCTTCAGCAGCTGCTGCACGTGCACCGGCTGGGCCACCACCGTCTGCCCTGCAGGCACCAAGGCAGGCTCAGTCCCAGCTCCACGCCAGGGAGGGAGCCCGCGGCTCACAAGTCTGTTCAGACTGACTCGCCTCCATAGAGAAAATTATCAACTGAGAAACTGTACAGAGACAATGCCAGCCCTCAAATATACTTCAAACGTTTCTGGGTTCAAAAATTACACTTAAATAAAGACATGGAAATTTCAGAATGTTAATGGTTAACTTTAGAACATGTACTTGGAAACCTCTGAGAGGCTTGATAAGGAAACACACGACGCCGTGTGTGGAGTGGGGCTGAGTCAGGACACAGCAAAGACGTCCCCAGAGAAGGCACGGGGGAGGGGAGGGGAGCACCTGCTGCTTTCTGCGGCTGCCCGATGGCCACGCTGATCCCCGCGACGTTCATGGGCAGGGTCGTGACCCCCGGCGAGGAAACCACAGCTGCCGGCACGGACACGACGGGCGGCTTCGCCAAGGCCACCTGTGCGGGCTGGGGCGCCTGGGTTTGCATCTGCCCTTGCGCCTGCAGCTGAGAAGTGGGAACCCGGGTCTAAACGACAGAAATAACAGGAGAGTCCAGAGAAATTCAGGATATCGTGTGTCTTTCCAAACATTTCCCACAAGAGGTCAGGCCACGAGAACACTTACAAAGATTAAGGAAGGCAAAAGAGCCGTGGCACTGAAGAGAGCGCCAACGATTTACATGTGCAGGCGCGCCGAGTCACAGGCTGGCCCGCTCCTCCGAGCCCGCCGCCAACGGACGCCCGGGCCCCGGGTTGGAGTCAAGCAAGAGCAAGGCCCGTGGGCTGTCAGATGGGAACATCAGAGACTCGCCTCTCTGTGGGCGGATCCTGTCCTGCTTCCCGCAGAGGCCCTGGGGGGATCCCCTCAGCCCCCACTGAAGAGCAGCCCGCCGCCCTCACCCCAAAACTGCCGCCTAACTCCCGTCTGCAGCCCCCAAGGGACGCCGCTGCCTCCTGCTTATCAAGGGCACCGCTGCCGAGCACTTATCTTAAATTACAATGGTAGAAAGGGAAATGGAAACAGGTCTGTTTCTGTACGTACAGAAACTGAGATAACCTAAGAAAATGCAAGGAGGAAAGTAAAAATCACCCACACTCCTGGAGTGACCCATATGTGCACATTAACACTGGTATTTAGCTCCTGGCCATTGTTCGTCTCTGGGCTTGCTGAAAACAATGTAGAAATGGGGTGAAGTACAGATATTTTGTCTTCCCTTTACAATAATCACTTTCCAAAGCTGCTTAGGATTCCACTGTTTGCTCTGTAACTTATTTAACGAACTTCTTGGCGATGGACATTTAACTTCCTCTAATGCTGCCAAACCAAAGCTCGCGCCAGTCCTTCTCCAGGACGCGGTGAGCAGGGCTGCCGAGCTCGAGAGTGCGCAGGTCTCCACAGCTCAGCTACCAAGTCCCTCCAGGGAAAGGCCTTCGGCTCCTGCTCCGCGAGCCCCTGGCTGTACCCAGGACACTTCTAGGTGTCCCCACTCTCCTCCTCTGAATTCCAGTTTGCGTGAACACAGGCGAAAGCAAGCTTCTTTTTGTGGTGTTTCATCTGCTTCTACCCCTTCCCGTGGAGGGCCAGCCGTGCCCAGAAGACCCAGTGCTGGAGCTGCCGTCTAGCGGCTGTGGCATTCCAGCAGGCACTCAGCCTCTACGTGCCTCCGTTTCTCCACTGCAAATGGAGTTAACAGTGAAACCCTATCCCTGCAAGGGGCAGCCGTCAGCACGGGGCCAGGTGACATGCTGAGGGCAGGGCAGTGATGGCTTGGGGCGAGCTCTCGTCACCAGCACCTCCGAGTGGCAGCCCCCCACGCTAGGCTCTGGTCACCTGCCGTGAGGTACCTGGCCCCAGGACGCTGACGCCTGCTGACCGTCAGTCATCCCAGACCCGCCAGCACCTTGCTGTTCTCCCTGCTCAAAAATTGCCATGTGCTCTCCCTGCCCACAGAGCAGCCTCCTGTGAGCCAGCTGTGGGGCCTGGCACTTCTCACTCCTGCCTGCCACTGCCCTGCACGGCGCCACGGCAGCAGGGGTGCCCGGTACACCGTTGACCTCCTCCTCCTCCACGTGCTCACTCCCCACTGCCCCAGCGTCTAGTCCCTGAGAAGCCTGTGACGCCTTGACCCGTCTGGAAGGTACTGCTGTCAGGCGTTCCCTATGTGAGGAATGGCACCCTCTCCAAGAGCTACATTCTTAGGAGAAAGATCCCAGTTCCCGCTTCCCTCGTTTTATTTAATTTATTTATTTTTGAGAGACAGGGTCTTGCTCTGTCGCCAGGCTGGAGGGCAGAGGCACGATTGTGGCTCCCTGCAGCCTGCAACCCCTAGGCTCAAGTGCTCCTCCTGTCCGTAGCTGGGACTACAGGTGCCACCAAGCCTAGCTAATATTTTTCTATTTTTTGTAGAGATGGGGTCACACTATGTTGCTGAGGCTGGTCTCTTGAACTCCTGGCCTCAGGCAATCCTCACGCCTCAGCTTCCCAAAGTTCTGGGATTAAAGGCGTGAGCCACTGCACCCAGTCATCATTCGTGCCTCACTTGTAAGTCAGCCATGACACTTAACATGCTCCTGAGCACGCAGTAACAGTTCAATTAAAATGTAAAGAGACATTGCTTTTGGAAAACGAACACATAAACTGGAACTTACGAGCCGGGCCACCTGGAGGTTGGCCACAGTGGTGCCTGTGAGCAGGGCTCCAGGCCGCGGGGCCGTGACCGTGGTGAGCTGGGGGCTCTGCTGCTGTGGGGGCTGCGGGGGCTGCACTTGCACCTGCGCCGGCGGCTGTGGGGGCCCCGGCTGGGCCTGTGGCGGCGGGGGCTGCGGGGGCAGCTGCAGTTTCTGCTTCTGCATTTTGATGAGGTGGTCCTAAAGCCCAAATAAAGCATCTTCTCTTCAACATCAACTGTATTCCATGCTTTAAATTACGTATCTTGACTTTAAGTTACGGGTCCCCTACTACCTGTTAAACAGCAAAGTAAACACCTGCCAACATGCGGTATGCAAACCAGCCCCTGGGGCCTTTCTAACGCTTTTAAGTGTTCATTTACTAAAAATTAGCATTTCATCAATGAAATCTGAAATAGTGGTTCTGAAAGGTAAGTTCATACCAAAATTTCTAAGTTCTTACCTCTCACAACAAGCCAATTTAAATCTATAGTACCATCAAACTTATTAGTAAACAAGTTAAATAAGTTATTTAATAAGTCCCACATCTTTAAAAAAATGAAAATGTCAAAATGTCAAAATACTAGTTCAAAAATATTTTAAAAAATAAATTTCCTTTCAAGAGAATGTACACTGAGCTGCTATGACTGCCAGATCTCCTGCATGCCGGAAATGAACACGACTCTGAGATTGGCTAGGAAAGGGGGCGGGAACAGAGGGATAGGCGAGTGGCAGCCAAGTGGGACTCCTGGCGGCTCCGCGGGATGAGGATTGCGAGTGGAGGCACTGGTGTCTCAGGGTGGCTGGCTCCGGAGGGTGAGACGGCACCAGTGTGTGTCGGGCATGGGGGCCGAAGCCTTGCCGTCTGTTCGCCCGTCTGCCTCTGCTGGGACGGGAGCTCCTGAGCACAACAGCTCTCTAACTCGGCACTGACGAGTGGGACCTCCTACGGCGACCGAAATGGGCTAGATGGGGACTGCGCATCGCGAGGTGGCTGGCGTGACGGAGGAACTGCGTGTTTAAATGCCGCGTAGAGTGCCACCCCGCCAGTGGCCGCTGCACCAGGCAGCACGGCTCTCACCCACTGTTCCTCTCGGGGAGGGGTGGCCGTGAGACACGCGGGAGGCACAGCGCTGAGCCGCAAAGGGAGGCTCCCTTCCAAGGCCCCAGGCCCCAGGCCCCACTCGGTTCCCGTGGCTCCAACAGCCGTCAGCAAGCCCCCTGCCTCCCGCACTGGGGAGGAGCAGACCCAGCTCAGGGTCCCTGTAGCCCCACAGCCAGCTGGGACGTCTACATGTCTTGCTTTTACTATACATGTTTTGGGGGTTACTTTCTATAACAAGTATTAATGATTCTTCCATTTGTGGCAGGGATATAACATTTCCTTTTAGAACAACTATACTGACGTAGGTGACAGCAATGCTGGAACACGGACTGGCAGCACTCAGGTACAGCGGAGCTCAATGGCCAGCCTTCAGGAAGCAACGCTGCAAAAGACTGTTCCTAGAGAAACCAGGTGTCCACAGCCTGGTCTCCTGACCCTGCTGGGGAATACTTTCCCCCCAGCATCTCCCCTGGTGAGAACAGCACCACGCGGGCTTTCTAGTATTCTCTGGAGACGGAACCACTCCCTACTAAGCACAGAAAGCTAAGCAAGAAGATGCGTTTGGAAACAGGAAATTAAGATCTCCAAAGTGCTGTGAACAAGCTGTAAGACTCTTCTCAGACACACGATCAAAGTATTACTGCGCGGAAAGTTTTATATAAATGAAGCAAAACATGCTTCCTCCATAAAAGCAATGCTAATTTTTTGCAAAATACACTTTGAATTGCATCATGCAACACGGTACCATCTCACAGACTCTTACAACCGCCTGTAAGACACACGTTTACGCTTTCCTGGGAGACGCTCACCGGTGTCAACTTGCCCACAGCTTTGATCTGCGCGGGGGACTGGGCCTGGCCCTGGATCTGTGGGACCTGCACCTGAGAGGGCTGCTGCTGCTGCTGCTGCTGCTGCTGCTGCTGTTGCTGCTGCTGCTGCTGCCTGAGAAGCTGGAAATGCGCAGGGGTGATGGTTTTCCCCGGAAGCTGAACTCCTGTGGCTGTGGAGAGGTCTGTGCGTTAGGTCTGGACACGGGACACTCACCCAACCTTCCGCTCCTCACTTCTCAGGAGACAAGCCCCAGCTTTACCTTGGGACGCCTGGGGCACCAAAGACCGTGTCGGAGTCTGCACTGGGGTCAGGCTGGTGGTGGCCACAGCTGGGGCTGTCACAGAAGTGACTGCGCGAACACCCTGTGTTGTTGCCATAGACACCAGTTCGGTGGCTGCCGTGGCTGGCGAGCCAACTGCTCGTGGCTGGGGCTGGCTGTGAACCACCTGAGCAGGAGCAGAGGCTCCAGGTGTCTAGAAAATGAAAACAGAGGAACTCGTCAAGTTGTCCCACACTGTGCCCCAGGGCTTCTCACGCTCAGGAGAGAAAAGCGGACCTAACTCCCAAGGTCGAGGGATGCGATACAGTCCAGCTTGCGGTCTTCTCACAAAGTACTGAGCACGTGCTGGTTTCGTGTGTAAATTTAAGTACGTGCCGTGAGCTGAAGAGCACTGCTCTCCTACGGGGATCCGACTGCCCCCCCGGAAAAAACTCCAGGCTCAGAAGACAGTGCTCCCGCCCACATCTGCAAAGGCCATCCTGCCCCCTCACCTCACTCACACCTTCTGGTCCCGAGGAAAGTCATGGAATTCTCGACTACTTCCAGGTGCGTGTGCTCACCCCAAGCACAGTCCATAGTCCTGCCTCTTCACCACCACCCCAGTCTGTGCAGAAGCCGCGGCCCCAAACCTTTGTGCTTAGGGTCTTGTGGCATCTTAACTCCCTCTTGCCTAAAATTCAGAGCAGCCTCACAGCCCCCGCACCCTACAGTCTGGACAGGAGTGAGGGCAGCAGTCGGTGCGGCCAGCTCGGATTGGCCCCACGCTCCCGAGTCCCACGGCAAGTTGGAAGACAAGCCCTAGCGCTGATTCCACACCTCCGAAACTTCCTTACAAGGTCACTGACCTCTGCCAGCTCCCTTGGTTCACAGATGCATTCTGTTTTCCTGGACTATTTAGTTTTTGATCTTTTTTCTTTTTCTTTTTTTTGAGACAGGGTCTCATTCTATCACCTAGGCTGGGTGCAGAGGCATAATCGTAGCTCACAGCATCCTCAAACTCCTGGGCTCAAGGGGTCCTCCTGCCTCAGCCTCCCGTGTAAGTGGGACTACAGGTGTGAACCGCCATGCCCAGCCAATTTTTTTTTTAATTTATTTTTTGTAGAGATGGTCTCTGTTACATTGCTCAGGCTAGTTTACATAGAGTAAAATTTACCTGTTTCAGGTACACAGTGCTATGCCTTTTTGCAAACGCATGTATGACTGAAGAACTAATCCCACAATCCAGATGAGGAACGGTCCGTCCTCCTGAACGTCTCTGTAGTCAGCCCTGTCCCTACCTCCAGCACCTGCCAATCTTTTACCTGTTTTCTGTCCCCATAGTTTTGCTGTTTTATAATGTTATTTAAATGGCTCATACAGCATATGACGCCTTTTGAAACTTCGTTCACTTAGCAGCAAAACGCACCTGAGGTTCCTTCACGCTGTTGCATGCATCAGGGCTTCACCCTTTGGTACTGCCAGGTAGTGCTGGGCTGTGTGGACGTACCGGTTTACTGTCCCATCACCAGCTGAGGACATCTGGGTTGTTCCTTTTTTAGCAATTATGAACAAAGCCACTATAAGTGCTCGTGTTCAGGTTCCTCGTATAGACATGTTTTTATTTCTCTTGGGCAAGTACCTAGCAGCAGAATTGCTAAGCTGCACGGTAAGTTTATGTTTACTTTACAGAAGATGACAAACCCGTTTTCCAAAGTGAGTGAGATTCTGCATTCCCACAGGCAATGCGCCGAGCCCCAGTGCCCTGCACCCTCACCAGCATCTGGTGCTGTCGGGTTTCCGTGTCCTTTTTTTTAAAGCGATTCTGTGGTGCGCAGTACGGTTTTGTGTGTGAGTACCAGGAGGGCGGGACCAACCTGAGGCCCGGTGACACTGAAGAGGAGGCGCCAGGCAGATAGGGGCAAAAACAAGCTCGTCTCACACGTCACTGTGGCTCTAATTTGCATTTCCCTAGTGACTGATGTTGAGCACATTCTCATGTATTTGTTACTCATCAATCTCTGCCCATGTTTTAAAGTTTTCTTATTGAGCTGAAGAATCTTTACATGTTCTGAACACCAGTCCTTTATCAGATGTGTTTTGAAAATATTTTCTCCCAGTCTGTGCTTCTCATTTTCTTAATATTTTTCAAGGAGAAGTTGTTAATTTTGATGAACTATAATTTATTAATTTTGCTTTCATGATTCACAGGCTTTTGGTATCCTAAGAAATGTTTAGCTAAACCAAGGTAGCAAAGATTTTCTACGTTTTTTTCTAGAAATATTGTTGTTTAGGTTTAAAGTTTATAGTTTTTGAGTTTACATGTAATCTATGATCTCTTTTGAGAGACTTTTTATATATGGTATAAGTTATGGGTCCAGGTTCACTGCTGTGCACAGGGCTTCCCAACCGTCACAGTCCCATCTGCTGGAAAGACTGTCCTTTCTCCACTGAATTCCCCTGGTGTTTCTAACAAAGCCAGCTGGAAATACATACACACGTATGTGTATACGTACATGGGTCTACTTCTGGGCTCTGTAACCAATTCCATTCACCTACGCAACTGTCTTTTTGCCAGGATAACACCGCAACACTGTCTAGATTACTACAGTAATGTCATCTTCGTAAGAAAGACACTTTTCAAATTCCCAGAGGCACATCATCTGACTGGCCCAAGCACTGCTGACTCTGAAGCGTAGTCTCTTCTGACTTGGTACATGCTGCCTTTGGGACTGTGGCTAATGGAAAACCGGGACCTGCATTTAAACTCCTTATTCTCATCTTGTTTGATGGTGGAATATCAAACAGGAGCAGGCAGCCTGACACTGGCACGTTCAGGGTTTCATGGCTCTGCCCGGGGGGGCCTGTGCCCACTGCGCCCTCACCACGGCTCCAGACGTTCCTGTAAGAATCGACCGCTCCCTCTCCTGTGCCCACCTGGTCCTGGCACACGCTCCAGCAACACGCATGATACCACGTCACGGCCTTGTGTGACGCCATGCCCCCCAGAGGGCGACCGTCTCTCTGCTTCCCCATGAGGGCACAGTGACACACACGTGGGGACACCCGTGTCACTGGAATTAAAGACGCGCCCTCATATCCCACCTGCTCCTCTCGGGGATCGTTCTTGGGGGTGGATTTTCAACACACGTGCACGTGGAACTCACATTTTCATTCCGTCAAAGTACAAAATAGAAACCATTCCCTAAACACCTGGAAGTTTCTGAAACTGCCACCATTATCGGCTATTTATTTTACTAAACTCAAACTAGATTAGCCCTCCTTTCATCTACGGAACATTTAAAAGAAATAACAATTTCCCCAGAATACAAAGTCATGGTGTGGGGACAACTCACAGTCAAGGACCCAGGAGCCACTGGAGACGCCAGACGCTTGTTAATGGACTGGAAGGTGGCGGCCGGGACACCCGCGATGGTGTTCACGATCACGTTCCCACTCACAGTGCCTACGGGGACAGACTGAGTGAGGCGAGAGGACGAGAAAAAACTAATTTCTCGTTTCAGCATTTCTGTATTTGACTTACCTGTTGGTATGCTTGTCCCCGTGACTGATGTTTTAATGGTTCCCGCCTATTTAAAAAAGAAAGCTCTTGACTGTCATGTCAGGCTCTCCCGTGCATGACCCTCTGAAGGCTTCCCGTTTCATTCAGAATCAAATCCAGCCTCTGACCACACAGGCCGACTTCAGCGCCCCTCACCCTGCATCCTGCCCACCTCGTCCCCCCCCATCCCTATAGCCCCCTCTGCCTCGCCCTATACCCCCCACCCATGCCCCCTCTGCCTCGCCCTACACCCTGTCCTTCCGCCCTGCCCTGCACCATTCTGTTCCTCACCTCCTGGCTGCAGCCGCACTGACCTTTTGGGCCCTCAGCCAAGCTCAGGGCCTCTGCACTTGCTGTTTTTGTTCTTCTCATGCCTGACTCCTTGTGATTCAGGCCTTAGCTCAAATGCCAACTCCTCAGAAAGGTTCTTCCTAACCAACCAGTCACTCACTGTTCTACCTTGATGCCTTCCTGTCAACATTTAAAATGGTGTCCCGCAGACCTTGCTCTGCGTGGCTAACTCCCGCCGGGACGCAAACTCAAGCGAGCTGGGACCTCAGCCACCTTGCTCACCAGGACAGTCCTTGCACCAAGCAGGCGTTTAATAAATGTATCTTTGGAGTGAAAGAAGAATCAAGTTGCCCAGGCACATATAAAAATCCCACCACAGGAAATAAAATTAAAAAAAAAAAAAAAAACCCAGCAGAGGAAGTGGTGCTCCGTAAGGAAAGTACGCTCACGCCTGGATGCCGGTGCAAAGTGAGTGCGTCCCGGTTTCTGCAGGTGTGAGTCTGAACAAATGACTCAGGGTCTGTGTGCCAGGCACACACAGCCTCACACGGTGCGGGGACGCACAGGTGTGGCGTCCACAGCGAGGCACTGAGGATGTGTGCCTGCATCGAGCACCTGAGTACACGTTTCAGGACAAGGCGGCTTATTCGGTCTGTTTGCCTAACGGCACAAATAGGATCTGCTCTGTACGTTTGTGGGAATAAAAGAGGTGAATTCATCACAGTTGTGTCTTACAAAACCCAGGTAATTCCAAACTTCCCAATTGCCTCCACTGAGTAGAGCCGCCCCAAGCCCCCCAACCCAGTAACATCACTCAGCCCACACCAGCCCGGAGAGAGAAACGGCAGCATCTGGACGAAAACACTCTTCCTCGAAGGAAAGATCGAGCCCTTTTCCTCCTCCTGCAAAGCGGAAGGTCTGCAGGCTGGAAATGTGCTGGATGCCGACCGGCACCGTTTCAACAAAAAGCATCTGACCCAAGTGCGGGTGTGGTGGGGTCGGGGCCGGCGTGGGGCGGGGCCTCACCAGCACTGCGGCGCTGCCCACGGTTGTCACCGCAGGCTGCCCCTTCGCTGGGGCCGGTGCCGGCTGCGGCGGGGCCTGCGGCTGGGGCTGCGGCTGGGGCTGGGGCTGGATGGCTGGCGGCCCTGCTGGCGGCTGGCTGCCCGCTGCCTGTGGCGGTGGCAGCGGCGGGGGCGGCTGCTGTGGAGGGGGCGGGGGCTGCGGCTGCGGCTGGGGCGGGGGCTGTGCCGCGGCGGGCTGCTGCGCCTTCTGCTGGTCAGCCAAGGCCTGAAAGGGTCAAGAACGAGGGAAGCCATTGGAGGAGCAGGTCCACCCAGTCAAAGCCACGCGTCTCCCCACAAGCGTGAGGGCCCAGGCACCATACCTTTTTCTCTTTTGCGATTCGCTCTGCACGGAGAGAGGCGACCTGAATAGGAGGCAGTGGCTTGTCATAGTTGATGCCGCTGAAAGATAACAGCAAAAGTTAGAAGTAAACAGGCATGTTCTAAAGCGGAGAAATGCTCTAGAAACCCCAGAGCACCAGGTGCTGGGACAGCTCCAGCCCAGGCGAGGGGGTGAAGGCTGGCGGGCTCTCTGCGGTGAAGAGGCCTCAGAAAGAAGAGAAAAGGCTGCCTCAGACGCCCGCCCCTCTCCCTTGCCCTTCCAAGCAAGCACGTTCCTGGAATATGAGGTGCCCGATGTCTGTGGGGGCAAGAAAGCTCTTCCGCGCAGTGTCCCGAAAACTCTGCTGGGCCAGAGCCACCCCCCACCCCGCCCAGCCGCCAGGGCTACCCACCGGCCGCCCGCCATGGCTGACCTCAGCCCTCCAGGAGGCTTCAGCACCGCTCACGCGTGCCGTGCCCAGGCCCCGCTCACTGTCCTGCCAGCCCCGTCCTCGCCCCACCCGCTGGGCCCACCCCACCAGCATTTAAACAAGATCGAGTCTCTCCTACCTCAACCCAACACACAAAAACCAAACCAAACCCTGACACGTGGCCTCAGCTAAGGGCCCCCAGATCTACACTCCCAGGCTGCATCTCCCGCTCTAATAACTCGTCAGGCTTCGTCCCAAACCCCTCCCGTAGAGACCCTCGGTCACCTGACAAGTCCCCCCAGCCCACCCCACGCCACCTGGAGCAGCACGTTCCAGGCGCAGGGGCTACTGACCTGTCTTCCCTCCTCAGTGAGCCCATGCGCTGCAGGGGGGAGCCCCCGTTCGGCCCGCAGGGCCCCGGCCGCACCGCCAGCCTCTGCCCGTGCAGGTCTGACTGCCCCGAACCTCAGCTCTCAGCTGCACTGAGGCCCTTCCTGGAGAAGCGTCTGTGGACACCCCCAGAGCACTGAGCCTCTCTGCTGTGGCCCGCCGGCCTCGCCTGTGTCCTCGCTGCACTCGGGAGAGTCCCCACCCGTTGTTCCTGTCGGGACGTCCTTGTTTATCTCACGCTAGGTAAGAGGGCAGGACTGTGCCGTCCTACCCCTGGGGAATGCCCGGCGCCGCGCTAGCCGGCAGCTGGCCGGTAAGTACTAGTTGAATAAATTCATTCATTCGATTGACAAGTGCGGCGCAAACGCCTGCTCTGTGCCTCCCGAGAGCTCACAGACAACACGTAAAGCTCACGGTCTGTCTGAAGACGATTGTGTTGTGAAGAAAAACAGAGCTGGGCTGGGCGCAGTTTTCAACAGGGTGGTCTCAGACAGGCTCGTGGCGTGCGGGAAGGCCTGGGCCTGGGCTGCGGCACACTCAGGGAGGCTGTGGGGCCAAAAGCCAGGGCCTGGTCCCAGGGAGCCAGCAGGGGCTCTTTGGAGACACGCCATGAGCCAACTTACTCTGCCCCAAAACTGCACTCGGGCAACGATGGCGCCTGTTTCCTCTGAGTGGATCTCCTATCCGACGTCACAGAAAGTGTCAGAAACGCTGCGGACCCGCACACCAGCACTCAGGTTCCTCGATCCGCGCCTCGCGATGTCCACAGTGTCACGTCTACCCACTTCTCTACCCACCCGCCAATTCCTCTCCGCTTCTGCCCTGGTGGGATCCAAGGTAAGTACAAGTACCCCTAACCCAACGTATTTTTAAAGTACAGCTGACAAAACGTGTGCCCGAGGAGAGGCAGGCACGACGGCGGCGGCCCAGGCACATTTGTCGTGTCCCGAACGCCTTCCGTGCCAGAGCACCAGCAGGGCAACCCAGCCACACGGACATGGGTACAGGCCACCCCACACACACCTGCACTGTCTGAGCTGGCGCCTGGAAGATGCTGTGTGCACAGTTCACTCAGCTACTGGATTTAAGTGAACACACAAACGACGTCATTTCAAACGGTAAAAAATGTGTCACGAAGACGGAAATACCTTTCTGCCAGCACAGAGGCATGCTTGGGGTTTTTCTGAAAGGGATTCATGCCAAGCCTGCAGTACAGAAAATGAGACAGCAGTTACTGAACACAGGAAAATTCACACAGAAGGAAATGCTAAAGACATACCAAACCCAGCTCCCCACAGCTCACTGTCGTAACTGACGCAAAATGAGACTCAGGCAACGTACAGGGGCTTGATCGGGGGGCTCCTCTTGCCCGCAGTCATCTTCATCAGGTCGAAGTGGTTCGTGTACAGCTGGGTGTGTGTGGCGTTCTCGTCCTGGGCGTAGATCTGGCTCGTGCGAAGAGGACGGTTGTTCTTACTCTGAAACAGAATTGATGAGAGCGCATCAAAGTGAGACAGTCCCACTCACAGGTGACCGCCCTGGACACAGGGCTCCCCGGGTCGGAAGCCTAAAGGCAGACGCCCCATGGCTGAACACAAACGCCCTCTTCCAAGTCCTTCTTTCCAAGACCGGATGTAACAGCAGCATCATCTGTGGACTGCTAGTGACATTCCCCAACGTGCACCGACTCTCTCTGAACAGCATCTCACATGAGCCTCAAAGGCACCCAAAGCGGGAGAGATTCCCCACTTTTACTGAGAAACAAAACAGGTATGCAACGTGTGGAGGCCACACGGCAGGTAGCAGGGTGACAATCTTCACCCGGTGGATCCAACTCCTGCCGACACTGACTCAGGCAGTGCTGAGGCCCACGGTCACCACCGTCCTCTGCCCACGGTGGACAGTGAGGCTGACACACATTCAGATGCGCCACAGGTACAGCCTCGGGGACTTCAGCATGATCTGTGCCTGGCAGTCTTTCCTTCATACACAGCCAAACAAAGGGCCACTCAACTGCCACCTGCTTGCTCCAAGACATCCCAGCAGCCCTCGTCCTGTGGAGAGACCCGCCCCACCAAGGACACTGTCTGTGCGAGGTCTCGGAGGTGGCTGGTGACAGTCGGGATGAAAGCTCGGGGCCCTCCTTCCCTGCCCAGGCCCTGCTCTCCCTGCTTCTCCAAAGGCTGATGGTCCCGAGACAAGGAGTCGGGCAGAGTGCTGGGGGAACAGGTGCGGCCGTGTGTTGTGCGTGTCATCTACCACCGGAGGAATGTGCTGGGTTCAGAGGACAATGCCAAGGCAAGGCAGAGCTGGAAAACCACCGTGCACGGGGACACTGGCCTGTTCCCCGAAGACGGTACTGCACATTCTCCTATCACAGCAGAACTCGGCAAGGGGCAGCCGGGAGAAGGGCAGGAACAGACCAGGTGCATCCCACACCACCCAGACACTGGCCTGGGCCGGGCCGAGGCAGCAAGGACGGTGCGCGGGAAGTCACTCCTCGCAGGGTCTGGCTGCACGTGAAGACTCCCCGGGGCAGGCCGGAGACGGCCGTGCCAGCCACGCACACACCCGACACTGTCGTCACTACGAGCTGCAACAGGGTGCCAGGAACGCAGGGCGCAGTGAGCCCTGGCAGGGCCCCTGACTCAGAGATCAAATCCTCTACGTACAGCAGCAAGAGGCACTCAGGAATATCCCAGGTTTCAGATTTCTGCTAATTACTAAAATCCAGGTTAATTCTGAATCTCATCATATGCTCCTACGCACAGCTCTTAGTCTTCCAACTTATCCTCAACAGCAACTTCACACCTTATGAACACGTTTTTGCCTTTCTTTGGATGAACTTCATAAATCAGCTATAAGAAAATATTTTAGCTTTACTTTTTTCCGTATCAAGATAACGTCTATTATTTTAAGTGTTTCTGAAACATAAAAGACACAATGTGAGATTCCAAGAAGTCTTACCGGTGAAGGCACCATAAAATGGTGTGGGGAAAACTTGCTTTTTTATTTCAAAAAAAAAAAAAAAAAAGCAAACAAAAATGCTTTATTTTGAGACAAGTGTTTTTAGAAAAATGATGATCGAGAGAATGGTCAGGGAAATAAAGTAGGACTGTTGTCATCCTGAGGACAGAGCTGGTTCACGTGCAGAGGACATAATTTTCACAAATACGAACGAAGTCACAAGTTTAACAAAAGCACCGACGTCTGCCCACCCCGTCCCGCGCAGGAGACGGGCCTGCAGCTCCCACTCGGGGACTCCCACAAGGTCAAAGGTGGTGGTCTCCGCAACCGGCTGTGGCATCTGCCCTGGGACAGAGGCGCGTCACCCAAAGGGGCTGGCTCGGCAGAGCACCCGGTGCCTCCTGGTGTGGCCCTGACGCCGTCCTGCGGAGATGCAAGGGGCCGAGCGCGGGGAGGGAGCCGCGTGAAGAAAGCCCGATGGGGAAACGGACAGAGCCAGCTGCAGGGATGCCCGCGGGTGCCGAGCAGCAGTGCCAACTCTGCCGGGGAAGGAACGGGAGCCGTAGCTGGCTACGTCTCTACGCTACGGTAAGCGGACGCACGCAGCACTCTCTCTTAGCCCTGAGACACTCTGCGCTGTCAAACCACGGCAGCAAGCCAGCGACCAAGCACCAGAACCGCAGGAGACACTAACAGACCTTCTTCAGCAAGCTGGCAACCAAGCAAAGCCAAAGTTCTGTCTTCTCTTGTGTTCAACCAGAACTTTATTAAAAAAAAAACGGTATGACCAGGTACTCAGAAGACGTACTCTTTTCCAGTGGCAACGGCGGTGCAGATGTTGGTATCGGATCAAACATCAGGAGCCGGGCCTGCCGCTAACACTAAGCATGACTCCAGCGAGTCTGGGGTGAACGTCTGTCACTGCTCCTGTTATGTGCCAGGAGCAGGACAGACATGTGACCTCGCTGGCCACTTCACAGCCCTGCAGGACGCCCTTGCTGCAGACACACGGGGAGAGTGAGCCCCGCGCTCCAGTCAGCTAGGAGCTGGCGCTGCAGCCACGCCACGCACGCCCGCGTTCTCCCAGAAAGAGAAATGCGAGTGCGCTCACCTTTCCTTCCTCTCTTGGGATGATGACGTTCTCGTAGCGGTTCCGGCACTGTTTGGAAGAGCGGTAGATTCGGCTACAGGAGTTAACGACGTCACTGACGAGATCCCAGTTAGGTGTGTGAGCAGGTGACACAATTGTGAGGTTCAACGGCAACTCCAGCAACTGTTTCACAGCCTGGAGAGTGAGGTTTCAGGTCAAACAGGGCAACGTGCTGAAGACTCCCCACAAAGCGATCGAGCAACCTGTTCTCATGAGCTGAGGGGACGAAACGGTCACATCTGAACACTCAGCACAGACGACGGCGCCCTCCTACCTGCAGCAGGGCCCAGTCCTCACTGATGAGCCACTCAGGGCTATCCTGGCCAGACTCGGCTGCCGGCTTGGCGAACGTCGGCAGAGGCTTGGCAAACTGCGTCTGCTGCTTCAGCAGAATGTTCTTCTTCTGCTCCTTCCCTTCCCTGCGAATCTTCAGCATGCCTGGAGTTGCACGATCGAACAGGGACCGCGGGGGCACCACTGCCTCCCCATGGCGCTGTTTCTTCTTCCTGCCTGCAGCTGGACAGAGAGGCTGCCGTCAGGGACAGCGAAGGAGGAGAAGCTGCCTGAGCAGGCGGGAGACACACGGGACGCGGCTAGGCGCAGTGGCTCACGCCCGGAACCCCAGCACTTTGGGAGGCCAGGAGTTCAAGGGAACGAGGACAAAGGCACATGGACAAGGGGAGCTTGGAAAGTGTTTGCTAAAGATGAAACGATTTTCTTTCGAGTTTACTACTAATTACAACTGAAAACATCAAGGTTTTCCCACTGGAAACAACAGAACCCAAGAACACGGAGTCAGAGGTGACCGACGGGCCCCACAGCAGGAGGCCAGCGTGGTGGGACCCCGCATAGGCCCAGCAACACCCGCGGGGACACGCACCTGAGGGGTCTGTCTTGTGCCTCTTGCGCTCCCTCCGCACATACACAGGGGGCAGCTTCGCCTCTGGGATGGGGCTGGCCTCGTACGTCAGACACATGACCGCATCGATGTAGATGTCGCTGTCGTCCTGGGGGGGTGTGGGCGGGGTCCAGAGCTGCGCGAGAAGGAAAGTCCCATCAGATGGGCGGCTCGAGGGAAGCAAACTCGTCCACACAGAGCAGGAGGCGGCACTTACGGGCATGACCTCTGCGTGTCCGCTGGCGTCTTCGAAGACATATTCCTACAGGGAACACGGGCAGGCTTAACATTGGACAAAGCCTCAGTTTCATGTTAAAGCCACACGTTATTTAGCCCCATACGTGAGTCTTCCAAGTAAGTCTGGTCAACATGACTATAAGGTTTACAAATGTGCTTTAGACCTGGGAATGCGATTCAGGGAAAAAGTCACCATCTAACTGAAAATCTCTAACAAAGCGTCAATCATTAAGAAAATCACGCTTTTAGAACATGAACTAGGTTCTTCTGATAGGAGGAGTAAAAACTCCTCAGGCATTTTCTCACAAATATGCAGACTTTGAACAAGTCGGACGTGGCTGAACGGCCGCGGCCAGGTACCATGCTGTAGGCGTCCTCCCGCGTGTAGGTGAGCAGCTCCGCCTCCTCCTGCGCCAGCCAGAGCCGGGCCTCCCTCTCCCGCAGGCTCTGCAGGTTCCGGGACTCCCACTCCCTCACTGCGGCCGTGACCGCGCCCTGGCGGGAGGGTGGTGGAGCCCGTCAGGAGGGAAGAGCAGCCCCTGCCCGTCTCTCCCCTCCGGTGCTGACTGAGAACAGAGACCACAGACCCCCCCCCCGCTGGGGCAGGTGCCTCCCGCCCGCCCGCAGCCCCCGCGTCTGACCCGTCACGCACAATCTGCCTCAAATCAAGTAAAAAGACACCAGAAGCTTGTAAGAAACAAGCTGCACAGTTGCCTACACGGGTTTTCTAAGACTCTGCTCCTATTAACTGAGTTTCTATACTGGTGGGTTTGAGGTTTGTTTCTTTAACTGAAGTGACATTTACTTCTAATCAAATTTAACACGGAAAGCTTTGAAATTCCTCACATTAAACTAATCAAAAGTTGATTCTCTTACCTCACTATTTTTCTCTTTTTCTTGCTCAAGGGAAGTATGAAATAATTCCAGGTAATTTAAAGCATATTTTTCAATTGGCGTAAGCTGTTTCAAAAATACATTTTTTGGATACGGTTAATAGCAAGTTAAGTTCTTTATACCCCACTCACCAACATTTGAATAAAAAAGTGATTATTCTTGGTTTAAGTAAACAAGAAGTATTTTATAGCAGAGTCAGACTTTTACAAAAACAGCCGCCAAACCTGCTCCATGAAGTCGGCGAGCTCCTCCAGCTGTGACGGCTCCTCATCGCACCTCCACCCGTCCGCGTCCGACGACACAACACCGGTGTGCGACCCGGGCACCGCCTCCTCTGCGGATTTCTGGGCATCCTCCTCCAGGTACTCGATGCTCTTGAGGGCCTAAAGAAATCTGTGCTTAGATCACCGAGACATGCTTCGTAGGGGAAGGAGGTCTGAGAAGAGCTGCCCTCTACAGTCGCAGCGATGCCTCTGCTGTGAGCGTCACTGAGCCGTGGCGGCATTCCCGGAGGTCCCCCCGGATGTGTGAGATGGTGAGGCGCTGAGGGGATGTAGAACACGGCGTGAGGAACCTTCTGGGCCTTCCGAAACTTACTGCCAAGTTGGAAGGAAACCCCTGGCAGAGCCGAGTGCCAAGGCAGCCGAGCGCGCTGTGCCAAAACCAAGGGTGGGACCGACGGGGCCCCCAGAGCCCACGGACGCCAAGAACAAGGAAGGGCTTGTTGACGCGTCACGCGCACACCACCAGCCACGGCTCCGGCCGCGGAGAACAAGGTGGAGGCTGCGTTCTGTGGCCTAGGCAGAAGAGGAACAGCCCTGCCGCGGCCAGGAACCAGACCCCGAGAAACGCAACACTGATGGCGACACAGACGGTCGGCTACCCTGCAGTTCAAGAAACGCAAATTAGGATGAAGAAAGCCACTACTCATCTAAGCAGCACACATGGAACAGCCACTGGCGATGGGACAAACGACCCCCTCACATCTGAGAGGGGGACGCGGCTTTTAGCGAGAAGACGTAAATTAAAAACTGGCACAACCCGTTTCCAGGGCGATCTGCCAAAATCTGCAAAGTTTAAACTACATCCCTGCCTCACGCTACACACAGAAATAATTTCCACATAGATCGTGCATCTAAATGTGAAAAATGAAACAACGAAACATCTAGAAGAAAACAAAGGAGGGTGTGTGGCGAACTCAGGGTGGTGAAGAGTGTCTTCAGCAGAGCACCGGGGTCTCCAGCATAGGTCAGCGCCACGAGTGTCTGCTCACCAGCAGACAGCGTCACAAACGGCGAACTGCAGCACGGGAAAGATATTTCACGCGTGCCCGACAAAGACCCGGCATCCAGAACACATAAAGAGCTCCAGCAAGCCGCTGAGAAAAAGAAACAGCCCAACTAAAACAACTTGCAAAAGGACCCGGGCAGGCACTTGTTTTAAAAGTAGCCAAACCGCCAGCAAACATACAAAGAGGTGCTCAGACTCACTGGCCAACAGCAAAATGAAACTAAACCCTCAATGAGAGGCCATTACACATCCTCCCAGACAGCTGAAGTGAAAGGACCATCGATTCCGGCTCTCGATAAGGACACACGGCAACTCCAACACTTGCGCACCGCTGGCGGGAGAGCACCTGGTCCACCCCCTTTGGGAGACCGGCCAGCAGCACCTATTAAAGTCAAATGTATGCAGGAACCCCACCCCAACGCACGTACCCAACAGAAACGCGCCTGCGTGTTTACCAAAAGGCATGTGCAAAAATATTCACAGGAGCACGACTCAAAATAATCGTTCTGCCACGTCCACCAATGGTAGATGGGTAAGTCAGATCCTACAGCCAGTCCCACACGGCAGATGCGAGGACAGGCCACGTACTGCGGATCTGTCTACACTGGTGAAAGACCAACACTCACCTAACTCCACCCCTGGGCTCACGCCAATGAGGAGCAGCGTCCCCCTCTCCCACCCGGCTCAACAAGCCCTGCAGACTCTGCCTGCAGACACTCCCCTGCCCGCCCTGCTCGGGTGTTACTGCTTTGGCCTCCTGACTGGCCCCGGGTCCCCCGGACCTGTTCCAGGTACTCAGGCCCAGCAAGGAGTCGGCACCCCCCCACCCCCAACGCCTCACCTCGCCACGCTGACTGCGGCGCTCCCCCTTGGACATGCGCACGCTCCCCTGCCCCAACTCAGCACTGCACGACTTCTCGCTCGTTTGGTTTCTGTCTCTGTCCTTGCTATGACAGAAGCTTCCTGAAAGGTGCCGTTTTTGTCTGTTTTCAATGCTACACCCCCACTGCCTAGCACAGTGCCCGACACGCAGTAAGACAGCCAATACATGGTTCGAAAGGATCTGCCAGTTGAAATACTACACTACTCTGAAACAACAGAGCCAACGTGGAAAAATCCCCAAGATAAACTGTTCAGGAGAAACAGCAAGCGTGTGACACGCTCACATCAAGTGCTCACGTGCACACACACACTCTCCAGGCCCTGCATTTTTTTCAAGCAGTATGTAAAATTTTTAACAATGATTAAATGGCTATCTTTGGGAGAGAATCTATTTTTCCTACCATCCTTCTGTGTCGTTTGGCTTTCTTTTTCAACCTCACGCACGTGTCGCCCTTTGTAAACACGATGAGGCTGATCTACGCCTCCTGACACAGGACGGTCCGTCTGGGAAATCTCGCGGGAGGAAGAGTGAGGAAGCCCTGGCGGTGGTGGTCTGTGCCTGGAAGCGAGGACCCAGGAGACCGGCTTTTCGTCACAAACTCTCAGGGGCTGCTGCCATGGTTTGGACGCTGGTCCCCCCCAAACCTCATGCCAAAACCCACCCAGTGTTGGGGGTGGGAGCAGACCCTTCAGGGACAGATCGGCGTCTGGGGGCGAGCGAGCTCTCAAGCTCTTGCTCAGGCTCGGGAGCTCCTGCTGGAGCCCGGCTCCTCCCTCGCTCTCTCCCTCCCTCTGCACGCGCCGCCCCTCCCCTCCCACCAGGAGCGAAGCCACCTGAGGCCCTCGCCAGACGCACAGTGTTGAACTTCGTAGCCATCAGAATCGTGAGACAAATAAACCTGTTTTTTTTCCTTCATAAATTACCCAGTGCCAGGTATTCCTTTACAGCAACACAAAATGGACTGCAACGGTTGTACCTCACAGGTTATCACTTCCTCAGTAACTGAACAGGCCGTTTTTAGAAACGGAAGAGGAGACGGCGGGCAGGAGCAGAGCTGGCGCGCACAAGCCAAGCACAGGCAGGGAGGCGCCAGCACAAGCTGCTGTGGGGCACGCGCCAGGGACTGCACCTCACACGGGTGGGAAGTCACTGCAGCCACACGAGAGGAGAGGGCCGGCGGGGCAGGGAAGGGTAAGTCCAGACGGGATGCTCAGAGCCGGGTGGGGGCCCAGATGAGGGCCCAAGCAGGTTCGGTCCCCCTCAGATGGGTCTTCAGGGTGGACGGGGCTTACTCTTACCTCTATGAAAGGCCTTGCAATTTTGGGGGCGATGGTTTCCGAGGCAGAAGGCTCCTGAGAAAGTACTACGAACTCCTCGGCTTTCACTGGGAAGCCGGTGTCATCCATGGGAGAATAAACCTCAAACAGCTCCTGGATGGTTCGCTGGACACAAAGGAGCACGTTATCGTCCAGTAGCAAAGACACGGCTCTGTGCCCGCCCTGAACTCAAGACCTAAGTACCCGGAACTGATCATTCCTCATTAGCCCTAATGAGCACCACGGTGCCATTCATGGTGGCTTCCTCACCCGCAGGACCCTCAACGACAGACAGTACCTGTGTTAGGAACGCCATGGAGTAGTCATTCCCCTGAGCAGCGACTTCTCGGATTAAATCTTTAGTTCCGTTTTTCAACAATTTCTCTTCAATGGAATTGCCACTCACAAGCCTACAAACAAAACACAGAAAGACAGACACGCAAATAAGTCCCTGGACGCACGACAACACCACACCCAGGCACAGGCATGCAGCCGGCAGCTGGTGAGGCCACACCTGTCCCGCCCCGCTCCCCGCCTGCTCCTAACGCTCCCTCAGGCAGTGCCAAAGGCCTCCTCAGCCACCCCCCTGCCTCAGCACAACAGGCAGGCCCAAAGCCTCCGTGCTGTCCCTGCCTCGTCCTTCTCCTGTCAGTCTCAACCTGGAAATGCCCCACGAGGTCCTCGCAGATGCACCTTGAGCATCTGACTCCTCTGAGCCCAGCAGCAGTGCCGGCCGCTTCGCTGACCCTGCTTGTCAAGATATTCTCACGACGTGTCTCATTCTCATGCAATTATGGACATTTTCATCTTTTTATCCCCTGTATCTGCCGGGCCCACAGGAGACTGTGAGTGGACCTGATCCCACCGGATGACGACGGGACAGAGGCCCAGAGGCACCTGCCTCCCCCAGACCACGGACAGGTGGCAAAGCAGGCCCCACGCGCAGCCCACACCCCCAGGCTCAGCCGCCTGCGGAACGCTGGCTGCCAACACCCGAGGGACTCACGTTCAACAACTGTGACAGCAGGTTCTCAGAGAAATGAGGACGGAATGTCTCCAGAACATTCCAAATTAAAAGGAAGCTAAATACTAGACAGACATAGGCAATCATGCAGAACAGAACAGAAAGTAAAGAGAGGGGCCCAGACGTACACAAAAGAACCAGAAACACGGTGAAGGGGAACGGTGACATGAAGAGAGGATGTACAGCTAACGGATGGCCCCGACGCCCCCAACACGTTCAGGCCGAAGACCTACTTTCCTGAGAGTAACGCGTGCTCATCGTAAACGATCTCATTACATAAAAGCGTAAGGAAGAAGACAAATCGAGATGTTGCCTGGATTCCGATCACCCAAGACAGCCGCTAGAACGTGGTGATCGCATCTCCGCCCGCCTAGGCTTACACACAGCTGACAGACAGCACCGCACGCGTGGGCCGGCACACGTCTAGGGCCCCTTTTCCGACAGACTTCTCTTCACTGTTGTTGGGAAGCGGCTGCCTGCCTCCCCCAAGCAGCAGCAGCGTCAACGGTCACACCCGGGGCGCACACTCACTCCTAGGCGGGCGTGCTCCGCCCTCCTCGCTGCACGCTGACCTACAGGATCCCTCCAAACGAACTCGCCGTCCTGCTGGCTGCTCAACACTGCGGGTGACCGGCATTCCCCAGTCCCTGCTTTGTGCCATGGGACAACAAGCACCCCATAGCCCAGGACGGATCCCCTGACGTGGGTATGTTGGGACAAAGGGCATGTGTCAAACTAATTTCCACAGACCCTGCCAAACCGCTTTCAGGAGAGGCTAAAGCAATCCCCACGCCCCTCTAACGTAGAAGTTCCCTTTCACCAGCGCCAGTCTGAGCAGGTCCCTTTCAGGACCTCAGCTGTCCGGTGTACGAAGAAACACTCCGTCCTGCGCTAAACCTGCACGTCCTTCTCCCCACCAGCGACCGAGCATCTCCTCACGCTTCCTGGCCACCTGGAATGGCCCGTTCATATTCACAGGTTCCTGCCCTCCCTCTTTTAAGATAAGGGAGTCTTTTATCTTTCTTCTCAATTTATGAGTTATTCAACTCTTTATTTGTCATGAAAATTGCAAATCACTTTTCTGCTCATTTATCTATTTACTTTGCTCATGGTATCTTGTTGCAATACTTACATTCTTATTTTACCACAGTCAGATACGTCTGTCTTCCCTTACTTCTGAGTCCTCTGTTTGGTCGAAGTGATCCCTCCAGCTCTAGGCTACGGTTACAGTCTCTTAGAGACTGTTCTAAGAGCGCTGCTTTACTTTTTGCACGTAAGTCTTTAATCCACCTGGACTGCGCTACGTCACAAGCGGGGAACAGAGCTCCAGCCCCACCCTTCACGTGGAGAGCGCAGCGTGCGGCAATATTCGTTACATAACCACCTCTGCCTACGATGAAATTTGACCTTTGTATGATAACATGCTAAATTCTCCTCTATGCTGGGCCCTCCACCCCTTGAACCGTCCGTCTGCGCCACTGTTCTGGGGAAAAGCCGTGAGCTCTGCCCCACACACAGGGCCGGACTCCCTCCCACTGCGCTGGTTACCATGACAGTTTTTACTCCAAATACACCTGAGCATCATTTCACCCAACTGTGTGTGTGACACACCCACGATTAGGGTTTTCACTGCAGTGATGTTAAGTTTCACTACTACTCTGGAGAAACGTCATTTTCATGCACCGTCTCCCCACCTAAGAGGCAGCGTGTCTTCTGCTCGCCACACCGCGTCTTCCGTCCGTTAGCACAGTCGCACACCTCACCGCAGGGGCGCCCTGCTCCTTCGCCGCGAAAGCCCGTCCTGAGTATTTCAGAGATTTTGTGGCTACTGAGAATAAAACAGTTTCCCAATTTCGGGCTAGTAATTGCTCAAGGGCCAACAGGAAGGAAGGGATGACACAAGGAAATCTTTCTCGTTCAACATCAACGACGTCCCAAATTCATTACCACAGTCATTCCCGCACTCGTCACCACACTCATACTGCACTAGTAAAAGAAAATGGAATTACGAAGTAAGACAGACAGTGAGAGCCTCTGTAAGAACTAGAGAAACATGGGAAGATGAGCATCGGATGTCACCAACTGCTGTCACCGTGGGGTCCTTCTTTCCTTTACACGCTTCTCTCTCGGTGGACACACAGTGCATTTACAGATAGATAAGGCTACTTAAATACACATTTGGATTACTGTGACATCGACTGTCCCGTTGGAAAACACAGTTAAGAGCACAGACTGGTGTTTCCATCCTGGGTCGGCCGGTGCTGAGAGAGCTCCCGCGAGGGCCACACCCGGGCACCGACTCCAGTCACACGTGCTCCACACAGCCAGGCAGAGACAGGCAAGACAATCTAAACCCACTGTTATTATACTTAACAATACACACTTTCAGAAATTTATAAACATACAGTAGACCTTTCTCCATTCTCTCCAGTGACATGTTTTGACAATTGTAATTTTTATGCTTAAAAGTAACAGTAACAGACTTACATTCTTTCAATAGCTGTTTTACTGACAGATAATTTACATTTCATAATAGTTAAAGCAACCCAAAATATAAACTGTCCTTTTAAGGTTTAAATACACTAAAGGAAGTACAATATGAAAATACAAAAAAACCCAGCAAGATTCCTCGTCACAATTTCAAGCAAATGTTAAGCATAAAAACAGACAAAACAGCAAGAATACAAATGTGTCTGAAGGAAAAACAAACAAGACATAGCAGAAACTCCTAAAATCGAATTGCAGTACGTTATTTTTAGTCCTGCCTTTCATTTCTGCGTTAGCATCTTTGGTACCAACACCTTCCACAAAGCCTCCCACTCACGCACCCCACCGCTGCCACCCGGGGGCGGCGTCACCTGTATATGTGGATGTCCTTGCACCGCCCAATGCGATCACACCACTCCTGGGCTTTGGCGTCCATCACTGGGTTCAGGTCGTTGTCGTAGAACACGACCGTGTCCGCCTCCACCAGGCTGATGCCTGTGGCACGGCTGTGAGTGGAGAGGATGGCACAGAAAATCCGCCTGTCCCTGTTGAAACTCCTCATCAGTTCCTGAGACGACACCAAACACTGAAGTCAGTGTTCCCCACGGTGTCGGGAAACCTGACACATTCTAGCATTCATCGACAGGAAATTATTCCAGGACAAACTGGTTTGCATTCCGAGTGACGTGAGGTATGTGATAAAGTCGCACCGCAGTTTTAGCGTTCCTCTGGCTCCTCTGCTCATCCGCCTCAGCTCCCACTCACCGCCCTCCACACCCCTACCCTCTGCTCCACTCACACGGCCGCGCATCACGGAAGGACACGTGGGGTCCCATGCTACATCTACTGTCAGCTCCACCTGCAGGCCCCAAAAGAAAGCGGAGTCTTGCTGGGGAGGGACGTGTGCTTTCTCGTCTATCCTCAGGCAATGCCAGGGTGCTTTACGGCACAAAAGCCCCCGGAGTAAGGCTGAGGAAGCAGGACGCAGCCCCAGAGAGACCCGCTACCCCCGCGGGGACCACAAAGGGAAAGGACTTGACTTGAGTATTTCTTATCTTCTGTGATCGCATCTGCGCCAAAACAGAACCTGAGAGCTGACCCGCCCTCTGCCTTCAAAACATTCTTTGCATAATCTGTGACACTATTACCAAGAAAACATGCTACTTGGTGCTTTGGCGTATTTCTTGCCAGACCTTCTCAGCGTGCGCACACATGTGTGGAGATTCCGCTTGTGCTGGGGAACGTGAACGTGCTTGTCGTCAGCACTGGGGAGCACCCTGCACGGTCCCGAGACTGGCTCTGCCGTGCTGCCGACAGGGACTTCCTAGTGCGCCACTAGGAAGTCCTGCGATGCCAGGAATCGGGTTTTGCTCACAACACGGCCAAGGCATGGGACTCGCAGACAGTTCTTAACTCACACATTCTTCTTCCACTGAACGTTTGCTTTGCCCGACTGTGGGTCATCGTAAACATTTCTACAGCAAACGACCACGTACACAGATCTCTAAGTGGTGTGCTGGTGCTATTCCTGCGTAAGCGGAGTCCTAAATACAGAACTGCTAGGTCGTTCGCGTCATTTCCAAGGCTCACAACCCACACGGTCGGGTTGCTCTCTAGAAAGCCGCCCTAGTTTACGCTCCCACCAGCAGCAGTGTATGAGTGTCCGACTCACTGTGCCCAAAGGAATCAAAATACCCTTAGCAAATCTAGTAAGTAAAAAATGGGCATACTAACTTGTATTTCCTTAACTACACGTTAGTCTGGACAGTCCTCAAGTCTTCCCAGCTACCTTCCGAGGGTCCCGGTCCTACGTGGCAGTGACCGGCGCTCACCCGAGACGCCGATGGCTGTGCGCTCACCCAAAGGCGCGGCTGAGGGTGGAGTGAGACTGACAAGTTCGAGAGTCCTTAAGCTCTCCCCTTTCATTTAGAGGGTCGTGAGATCACCGAATTTACACAGCAATTAGAAATTAGGTTAAAAACTGGTGATCAAAGTTAATGCAACTGATTCTCAAATGATAATAAGGTAAGCAATTTATTTCTCACCTGTCGTTGTTCACTGTTGGCGTTTTCATCAATTCTTATGTAGGTAAGAAAATGGAAGTTCAAGAACATTTCCAAAATGTCCAGCATAAGAACCATCTGTGATAAAATCAGCACCCGCCGTCCTTCAGATTTCAGCTTCTGAAGCAAGATAGCCAAGGCTTCCAGTTTCCCTAGGAAATGAACAACACCGAATGTCTCGTGACCAGCAGTGAGCCAGGCTCACACCCTGAGCCGAGCCGACAGGACCTGCTCTCATACCTGAATCAAACTGCACCAGCCTCAGCTCAGGGAACCGCAGCGAGCGCAGCGCCGTCGCCTGCCGCAGCTGCTGGACGCAGGGAGCAGCGTGCTCCTCCAGGCACTGCCTGAAGACCCTCATCCTGCGGCTGTACGGCGGGGGCGGCCTCGCCACCCACAGGGACGGGGGTGCTGCCACCACTGGAGGAATCACGCAGGCCACCCTGGGGAGCACAAAGCACCTCAGTCACCACGGGGCACTCAGCATCTCTACAGACGCTGGAGGCTGCAGGGGGTGAGGGCAGACCCTCTGACAATCCAGGTGGCAGAGGCAGCAGGCCCACGCCTAGTCACCACGGGGACACGGCTGTTGGCACACATCACCCTTCACAGCAACCCTGGCGGGGAGACCCCACAGGGCATCCTAAGCAGTCCTGGCCGATGACGGCCGCCCAGTGACCCGTTCAGACGGTCCAGGTCTACGCAGTCACTGTGGGGCACTCCCCAGGCCACAGGACTGTTTCAGAAATGTTTCTGAAACAGACTGTTTCATGAACTTCCACTTGAAGCTCGTGTCTGCAGCTGGGAATCTGGGGACAGAGGCGTGCTGTCCCTGGACGTCAGCCCTAGAACTGCCATAGCCACTGTGCCATCAGGGCGGGGCCAGACTCGGGATGAAGGAAGCCTGCAGAGAGCAGGATGCCGAGGACACGGCGCAGGCCTCACAGGTGGCTCAGCACCTGGCAGTCCCGGGGGCCCCTGCACCAGAGGAGCCCTCCTCACGGACGTCAGCTACAACTTGCTCCCGACTGTCCTCCAACTAAGAAGGTCATCCCCATGTCCAAGGAAGGAGCGTCATCCGAGGGCAAGTGAGGGTTTGAAAGGAAAGCAAGTCCAGGAGCACACAAGGCACTGACTTGACCACACACAGCCGGGGTGGTTGGAGAAACACTCCCGTTTCCTTTTCTCCACTGACTCTGTTCCTGATCTAAAAGCCCTGAAGCAGGTGGGTCCTGAGAGCTCAGCCCTGAGATGGTGCAGGAAGCAGCCGGGCCTCCTCTGCACAGCAGCGACCGTGAGGAGCACAGCCCTCGCGGACCAGGGGAGAGCACAGGCCAGGCCGCGGGAAACCGCACAGGCCAGCGCTCTCCACGGGGTGAGTACAGGCTCAGCCCCACGGAGGCATTCTTCTCTATTAAAGCGTATTCTGAGTTCAATCCTGCACACACTTCTCCTCATGCAGCATTCGATCACTCGTGGTTACTTTAACAAAATGTTCTTCTGAAAGAGTAGGATGGAGAAAATCGTCAGCACGCGCCGACATCATCTGCACGCAGAACTGCACCCACTGCGCGGCGGCAGGTCCATCCGGAGGCTGTGCCCAGACAACAAGACCACCTGAGCCCAAAGCTGAGGACCCCGAACAGCATTTCACAGCAGACTTCTGAGGGACAACTTGGGAGAAGCTTACGGGATTAAGATGAACATCCTCAAAACAACAAGGCAAACGGCCGGGAGCGGCACGGTAAGGGAAGAGGGAGGCTGAGCCCTCTGTCTGCACGGGCCGACTCACCTGTGGACTACGTCCTGGAGGGTCTCCCAGCACTGACTCCGCAGCGGCACCGGCAAGCCCCTCCTCCTGGAGGCCGACGCACAGGAGCTTGCTGGCCCGGTCCCCGGGCCAAGACCACCGTCAACAGACCCCAGCCAAGGGGTCTCTCCTCTGCCAGGCAGGGAACAAAGCCCTAACAGATCTCTGCCGTAGACTGGCGCGCGAGAGCAGCGCCGCTCGTTGACGAGATAAATCTGATCCAGCCGCTCTTTCAGAAGTCTGGTCTTTTCCTCCTGTACCAAAAACAGCGATGGAAAGTGGTTACTCGAGAAGCAGCATGGCCAGTTATCGTCTCCACCAAAGACTCTGGGCGCTCCCGTGTAGAGCACACGGCGACACGCGTCGTCCTTGCTCCACAGGACACAGTGACAGAAACGAAGCCGTGGAAACGCATGCTCTGCTCCCTGCCGATGTGAGAGGTGTTTCTCAGGACACAAGTGAGCACTGCCAATGCACGGGAAGACTTATAGAAGAATAGAAAACACAAGAAAAGATTTTTGCAATCATAAAGCCCACTTTCATTTCTTTTATTAGGAAATGTGTGTTTTTAAAACCCAAATTTTATAATTCAGAGAAAAAATGTATTTCTGAAGCCACATAACTTGAGGAGCATGTGACTTCTGTATGAAACAGAAGCCTTTAAATACATGACCAGACATGATGAGCAGCTCCTGGGAAACAACTTGTCTAAGCGTAACGGGGCTAGTCCAGCATCACGTGTCTCCAAGTTTAGGTACCTTACCTGAGTTGGTCCCCCAATGGGAGAGGCCGGTTTGGAAGCCATTCCAGGTTCCCCTACAGCCAAGGCATTAACTGCCACTCGGCCCGGAACACCAACTATAAATGCAAAAGCAAAGAGATGAAAAGGAAGCCAAAAGTCCACAGGATCTAGTCTGCCACCGGCCCGCTCTATGGAACCTCAACCTAGTGGATCTAGTGCGATCTCTGCAAAGTCATCCTCTGTTAGCCGGCTCCTGAGACCTCGCCCTGCACTAGCACACTCCTAGAATGTGCTACGCTGTGTAGATCTGCCAGTGAAGCCCTCTGGTTCTCTGGCCAGGACCTGAGCTACGCCAGGAGCCCTGGGCTCACCATTTCCTCTGTAAGGCTCCAGTGCACTCAGCAGCCCAAGACGCCTCACACCTGTGGTCTTCCTCGCTGCCGTCAAGTCCGTGTAGCAGCCACCCAGGCTGGGCACTCCACCGCCACTGGCAGGCTTTCATAACACACCCAGGTGACACCCTGACGACTGGGCTGCTCCCGCCAGCCACAAGCACCCCTGCCTACTGGCAAGGGGCCTGCACAGCCCCCGAGACCATGACAGAACCACCCAGCACCCACCTAGGATCTGTTCCCTGGGCTGCTCCTGACACCGCGCCCTCTATCAGCCAGGGTCAGCCACTTGGCGGGACAGACTTTTATACGAAGAAGGTGTCAAGAGGTACCTGAGGACTGCGGGGGCATGGGGTGGGAGGCCCCTGAAGGGCAAAGAGGAGAGTTGAGGCCACCAAAACCTAGCAGCTGGGAGGACGCCAGGCCTTTAGGGTCCAGGCCTCCAGCCAGTGCCTCTGGAGCTCAGAGAACGGGCTCCACAGAGCAGGGACTTATCGACCTCTGAGGGGTGCAGAAGGTTCTGGAATCGCCAAGGAGGCAAGGCAAGCTATTTTGGTTCTGAGGGTGTGAGAAAGACCTGGCAAGTGTAGCTGGTGGCCGTGCTGGGATGCAGGACAGCCGCTGGGTGACGTCCCCTACCCGCCAGTCCTGCAGCTCCTCCGACGTGCCCTTGAAGAGCCTACCGTGGGTCACACCCAGCACCCCGCAGACAACACAGAGGTGGGGCTGGGGCTGGTAAAACCACTCAGCGACCAGGACACAGTGCCCAGGCCACTCAGAGGGTCCCAGGGTGAGGTGTACCTCACCGTTGCAGGTCTTTGTGTCCCCAAGGATACGCCACACCAGGACAGAGCACACCAGGTGGCAGGACGGGACATGGGGCTGGGAGGCAGGTGTGCAGGCCAGACAGACAAGGGCCCAAATCCTGCACAAGCAGCCACGGGTACCCTGTTCCCGGGGAACCCAGAGCTCACTAAGTGCATTTGTGACACATTAACATGCAAAATTTGTCATGATTCTAAAAGTCTCCTATTAGAACAAAATGAAACAAAAACCTAAGGACAGCGCAGGCTGGTTGTATCCAACCAATGCCTGTGAAAGCACAAGGGAAAGAAAATCAATCCGCTGACGCCATGGCACACACTGGAGACCAGAGACAGCCACAAACTAGACTCTGACGTCCTGAGGCACAGCAGTCGGACACACAGACGCCTTCCAGGCGCCTCAGAAGGAAAAGAAGGTCAGAAAGAAGCTTGCGAGCCAACACTCCTGCTGCTGAAAGCACCCTACCTTGTGGGGTCAGGGGTGCAGGGCTGGGGCTGCCGGCGGGGGGCTTGCTTCCCAGGGCGCCGTGCACAGCACCCGCCTGCGGCACGGTCTGCATCACCACGGGGCCGGGGGCTCGCAGGTAGGGCTGCCCGGGGGCGGACACGATCTGGAGGACGCTGCCTGCAAGCACAGGTCCGCGGGCGCGTCAGCCGCAGGCACGTGGGCCCCAGCCACGCACCGCGTCACTTTCACGTGGCGCCAAGATCAACAAGGCAGTAGACTGAAAACCCGAAATCAAGTCTACGCAAACAAGTCAAGGCAAAGTTCAGTTACTTTGAGAAATATGAATACATGTCACCCACAGTGAATGAACCAGCTAAGGAACAGAGTGTTTTCTTAATGTCAAGAAAAGGCTCGTCTTCCCCTCAGTCCCTCCCGGAAGGCGCCGTGAGCAGGGCCCTGCTGTTCCAGGCACCGTGCCAGTCACAGGGACGTCCCCGTGCCCAGATCGCAGAACGTGGGCACTTCCAAATGCCGCCAAGTAGGAGGAAGAATACCCCAGAAAACTGGTACGAGCCCCGACGCCTGTGGGTTTACTGCCACTGCTTAAGGAGCTGGCCACTTTCAATCTTCTGTGCGACTAAATCTTTCCAGCTTCTTTCACTCTGAGGAATGCTTCCCACAGGTGCTCACGCACCACCTTGTCTCTGTGGTCCAAGGCACTGGAGAAACACGGAATTAAACCAAATTCAACAGTGTCTCTGCTACAGGCCTTGCGGGCCCTCTCCAGGAGTGCTCCCCAGGCTGGGGGACAACAGCCTTCCACCCTGACGAGAGCTGTGGCCACAACTCATGGGGAAGCTGCGGGGGAAGAGGGTCAGCCGAGGCTGCCATTAACCCTGCTTCTGAACGCTAACCGGAATGATGGGAAGCAAATGATTACCTACCACTGGGAGGAACTGACAGGCCTACATTATTGCCATGTAGCCATTTAAGATTAATTTTAAGGTATCACTCAAGTTCCATTCCCTCATTTTCTTTAAAAAGCGGTTATTAGATAAACACATTGCTCCTAGCCAAAGGTCTGGAAGGTTTTTGTCTGGGAGTTGAAATTAAAAATTCTGTATGTAAAAGAAAATAATTTCTCATACATAAATCGCTAATCCTTTGGTATTTTTACAACAATTCATCTCACATTTGTATTAGACAGCAACATTCATTTATTTATTATGTATTTTTGAGACAGGGTCTCACTATGTGGCTCAGGCTGGAGTGTAGTGGTGTGATCACAGCTCACTGCAGCCTCAAATTCCTGGGCTCAAGTGATCCTCCTGCCTCAGCCTCCCGAGTAGCTGGGACTACAGATGTGCATCACCGCGCCCGGCCAATTTTTCTCTTTTTTGTAGAGATGGGTCTCACTATGTTGTTGCCCAGGCTGGTTTCAAACTCCTGGGCTCAAGTGATCTTCCCACCTTGGGCTCCCAAAGTGATAGGATTACAGGCATGAGCCACAGTAGGCCTGGTCAATAAGCAGCAAATGTTTCTATGTTGACGTACAAAATAGGAAATTCTTTTCAAAGGGCAGATACTGTTAAAAAAACAAACAAAAGAAACAGTATGGTTTTCTAAGCACAGATCAGGTAGCAGGCAACCAGGTGGTTTACGAATGTTATCTCACTGGTCCTCTAAACCCCCATGAGGTGAGACTCATTAACGCACCTGGAAGCGAAGAACCTGAGGCTGCAAAGAGGCCAAATAACCTGCCCGCATCACCCACTGCGGTGGGCAGGGCGCAGGTGCGGCGCTAAGGCGAAGTGCTTCTCCTGCCACTACGGCGTCAGCGTGGGCCCGCCCTTACCTTGCAGCTGCAGCGGCTGGCCCGCCGTGAGCTGCCGGAGCTGGCTGTGCGACAGCGTGAACTTGCTCCCCTGGAACTGCAGCGTCACCGGCGTCTCTGGCTGGGCCACTCGGCTCTGCGGGCCCGCGATGGACGCCAGCTGAGCTATTTTCACGACCTCTCCACCTGTGGAAAGGTAGGGGAAAAGGCGAATTAACACCATTTGGGGGTAAGTTTGGGATTGTCACAACGATGATAATTTGTTACATATATATGACGACCAACTACAGTAAACTGAAGGCCACAGAAGCATTTACGAGGTAATGCTTTCTACCACTTTAAGAAAACAATCATCTTAATAGAAAAGAGAAAAGAAAGTATCAGACTTCAATGGTTAACTTTATTTAACCATAACTGATGGGGATTTTAGATATCAGACACTAAATATTATTAACCAAACTACTGAAGAGCACTTTAGTTTTCTCACCACACAATAAAAAAGCAATCACGAAAAGTAGCAAAAATCTATTTGTGATACATTTGGAAATTTGCATCTCAACCTGTCCGTTTAAAGAACTTTTGAAATTTTAAAAAGTACATGTCCAATTTAGCTCACAGAGAAAAATAGGATTTTGCAGAACTAGCTTCTACGAATTACATTCGTAACTCTCTCAAAATCTAGGCATGTATTTACATACATCCATAAATAAATCACATACATAAATAAAGCTTTAAGATATAAAGTTTCTTACTAACTTGAATTAGATGATAGGATTCAGTAACATTTACTGTAAAAAAAAAATATGAAACTTAACATTGCCTAAAACACTTTTTAAACATAACTCAGATGTAGTTACACGTATCCAACTCAAAAAGGTACTACCTCCAGAATATAATTACACAACAAGTTTAAAGGTTTTTTTTACCCAATGGGAGTCTAAATGCTCCTCCCAAGAAAATCCATGCCAGAATTATTAGTGACATCATAAAGAGAATAGTTAGTAAAAGACTAGAAAAATACTGAAGACATCTTGCCACAGAACAACTGTGAACAAGGAGGGAAAACGAAACGGGAGACACAGAGATTTGTGCGTAGAGACGTCACTCTCCTGCTGGGCCTCCTTGGTCCACACACGGGTGAAGACCGACCAACAGGAGCAGCGACCTGCTCACGCGTGCACCCCCGGGCACAGCTCCTCCGGCACGCCCCATACCTCTTCCCAAGCAAGGCAGTGTCTAGTCCTACAAAAACGCAAAACACACCGTGCTTCTCCCTTCGGGCAGTGAACTAGGACGGTCACTCTCTGTCTGAGGGCAGAGGAGGAGAGACTTGTCCTGGGGAAAACTTGTCGGAACCCAGCGTCCCCTCACACCACCACTGCTCCCGTTCCCGTCTTTCCAGAAAGGCCTCAACACGGTTTCCTCATGGCAACACGTATAATAGTTGAGGTGGCATTTGAGAAATGATACAACCCGTGATAATTTAATTTAAGTTAGGATAATTTCCACAACAGAACGAATAGGGTCCATACAGAATTTGAAAACACTAATCCTACTGGCCGCAGTAAGAAGTCTGTATTAAAAAAAATTAATGATGTGATTTTTTTTCAGTCACTAAATTATAAAATATATGGTTGAACAATTTTTATTCCAAGTTTATATCTGGTAATAAGTGAGACACTAAAAAGAACTAATGGTTTCTAGAAACCTACAGCTCGTCCCCACAGCTGGCAAGGAGGTCACCTGTCTGGAAGCAGTCCTTGTCACCCTGTACCCCAGAGTGGGCCGTGTGGGTGACGGAGCAGACCTGGGCTGACACGAGGTCAAGTGCTATAACAGCACCCCAAGCAGTGCAGTGAAGGCAGCAGGAAAGCAGAGTTGGACGAGGGGATCAGGAGAAAGAACAGAAAGCAGGGAGGCCCTGCCGCTGGCCTCTGGAGAGGCCCCTCCCTGCCGGACAGCAGGGCAGGACCAGGCAGCACAAGGGCGCGGGGTGGGGAGAGACAAGGGAGTGGACAGCAAGGCGCTTCACGCAACCCCGTGTTCTCACACCCGCTCCGGGGCAGAGATGGCGGAGACCTGGAAAGGCGAGGCCACTTACTGGGCAAGCGGGCCTGGGCCTGCGAGGTGAGCACCAGCCTCTGAGGCAGCGCGCTCTGCCCGGCCGCGTGCGAGGGGCTCGGCCCGGCCGCGCGCGAGGGGGCCGGGGGCGGGGGCAGGGGTGGGCCTGGGGCCGAGGCCTGTGCGGCGGTCTGAGCCCGCAGTTTCGCAGGATGGGCTGGGCTAGCGGCTGTGCTGAAGGTCGCAGCGGGCTGGTGTCTTGGAGCACTGGTGGAAGCCTGAGAGGTCTGAAACGGGGCTGCTGCCACTGCAATCGATAAGGTTGGTTTGTGCAAAGCTGTTAGAGGTTCTTAATAAAATGCAGTATTTTAAACCCGAATTTTAAAGAAATAAAATAAACATTACTTCACACTATCTCTCAAAAAGAAGCCCTCTCTTTGGGGGGGGGGAGAAGGGGCCGATATAGTCTACGGAGTGAGAGAAATATAACTTTCTATCTATCGCTAATTATTTTCTCTTGTAGCAAATCCATACACTACACGGTATGTTTCAGAGTAAATGGAAAAGTATTCAAAGTCAGCCCAATCAAGCATTAATATTAATTAGAAACTACTTCCCAAACACACAAAAAAGCATAGAGTTTCCATTCTTATCTTTACAAAGAACTCCTGCAACAGTGCAGTTCTGAACTTTCTCTCTCTCTCAGAAAACCACACGGACACGATGTGGAGGCCCCTTTGACCAGACGGTGGATGCTATTTTTAACTATCTCGTTACCTTTTCTGCTATGTTACCTACCCTTCATTCAAAGGAATCAAGTTCCGTTGAAATGACAGCACAAACTCTAACAAGAGCAGACTTTCTCAGAAGTTTCCTAAACAAGCCGGGCATGGTGACACACACCTGTAGTCCCAGCTACTCGGAAGCGGAGGCAGGTGGATCGCTTGAGGCCAGGAGTTCAAGACCAGCCTGGGCAACATAGCGAGACCCTGTCTCTTTTAAAAAAAAAAAAAACTACAACAAAAGTTTCAAATGACTTTGATATACACGTACCTATAGATGTAAAAGAAAATGTTCTGCCAAGGCATACGCGTCATCATCAGATCAACAATTACTCAACTAAGAATAAAATTTCTTGAATGGGGAGAAAAAAATCCATTTTAAGGAAAAAAGTCTAAAACTCATCCAGAACGACATGTGGCATCTTTAGAGAGGCAAGGACAGTTTCCGTTCCTACTCAGAGGAATGACTGCAACGTCCAGAAGGGCAAGAGGAAAGCATCATGAACTACTTCCACAAAAACCTTTGGTAGCACTGAGAGTAGACAGCTACGTGAAGTCTACCTTTTGCCTCCGGATTTGCAGAGAATGTGGCAACAGGTGGCCGTCCTCGAAGCTGGCCCTGTGGAGCAGCAGTGGCCGAGGTGGTGGCCGCCGTCCGGGGCGGGTGGGTGCTGGGGAAAGCCACGGTGCGGCCCTCAGGCTTCTGGCCATACTGCACAGGCTGAAACAACCTAGATGCCCGTCGGTCCAGGCGAGAAGACACAAAGCATCACCAGGCTGCCAAGAGGGAGCCCGGGACACAGGACCACCCCCCGCCAGGCCAGCTAGCGGCTCCCGGCTCCAGGAGTGCAGCTTAATAAAGAGGGCAGGGAAAGCGTGCTCAGCGCTGCTCTACGAGGCTCACCGCGAGTCCAGGGCAGTGGCTGCCCAGACGCGACACGCACGCCAAAGTGGTACAGCTACCTGACTCTTGGTGACACGTCGATGAACGTTACCTCATTTTTAAGTTCACATCAATGTGGATTACAAAAAACACACGTAGCACGTAAGTCTATGATGCACTCATGCAGAGGAAAAGTGAAGAGGGGAGAAAAGCCAGCGCACACCACCATGTGATGACGTGGCAGTTCAGGCGATGGACGTGGAACGTGCTGTGACTGGACCACTGCAACGGCAGTTTTCAAGACACTTGTACAAAGCACCAGGCAGAGACGGCATGGAGAGCCATTAACGCATGACTGCCAAACTAGAAAAAAATTCTCCCTTGGGGCCGCGGTGAGTTGTTATGAAAACAGAAAACAAAATGATCCTCTCTAATTTAATGAAAAATTGTTGTTTTTTAGTTTTCTCTGTGTGAGTTATAAGCAACTTGAAAAATAGTTCACGCGGCTCCCAAGGCGCCCGAGGCAAAGAGACATGTGAGTTACACATGCTTCACAAGGCCCGAGGCTCAAAACTAGTGAGAGTTAAATACAACTCACACAGAAGTTAGCGTGTTAAATGAAACCAGACTGGCACCAGGTGGAGTGGACGCCATCTGCTTATTTAACTGAGGGCTGCAGGCTCCCTGAGGAGCAGGCTGCTGGCTCGGTACTGGTGAGGAGGGGTGAGTGGCTCACATTCCCCAAAGTGGCCAAGGACAGACACAGCAGCAAGCACAGGCTGCCAGTCTACAGGGCTGGCCTCTATCTCTAAAATATCCATTTTCTCTTTTCTTTCCTTCATTTTTAACCCAAGCCTAGGATTTCGCATATTTCCAATTGCTGGATTTAGCCCGTCTTGAATATTTGTACTTTGACTTCATCTAAAATGTCTGCCCCGCCACACTGGCCTCATGACACCTGCAAGAGCATCACTTCAGATGTCACCTGAGGGAGGTGACATCACTGTCATCTGGGGAGGAGCCTGCTGCCTACCCTGGCCACCCCACCACGAGCACGATTCACGTCTGCTCTGGTTGCGCCAGCTGCCACCACGGGAGGCACCAGATCAGATTCATCCCTGCAGCCCCGCAAATCCCCAAGGAGGCTTTGAGATGGACAAGGGCCGTTCTTCCGGGCAGGTGAGTGGCCCCGGCGAGCGCCCTCCCCAAACCGGGACATCTGGGAAATTCCCAGGAGGAGCAGACGCCCATCTCAGATGAACAGCCTCTCTTTACCACACACAGTTGGGGTCAGCTGGGGCCCTGACCCCAGGTCACTAGGAGCCGCCCGCTGCTCCTGGCCAGGTCACACACCTGCTGGCCTTCAGCTTCACTGCCGCCGGCCGGGCTGACGGGGGTGGTGAGGTGGAGATCTCCTCCAGCAGTTTCCGCGTGACCTTCTTCCTAGACAGCAATTCTGCCTCATGGCGAGTGATTTTATTTTCTAACCCGACCAGATCAAACATAGAAAGATCCGTTTCCTAAGTAGAAAGAGGAAAAAAAAAATCTTACTATATGAGGCGATAGCAAACGCACTTGACTTAGAATGAAAAGCTCTTTCACCGGGAGGGCCAGGCCCCAAAGCAGGCGTCTTCCCCGAGGGGAGCTCCTGATGGCCTCAAGGGCTCTGGCACAGGGAGGCCCGACCCCACGTGCTGTTTCCCGCTCTCCACAATAGGAACAGCGGCGCCTGGCCCTCCCAGGGGCAGGGAGACGGAGCAGGCAGCACAGGGAGACACACTGGACTTAAGGGAAGAGGGAACACAGAGTCCAGAAGTGTCCGGTCTGCACGGCGTGGAGAGGACAGGATTCTCCGAGAAGCAGGGAGGAGGCTGCGTGTAGGTCACTGTGGGAGTGACGTTGCGCCCCCATCTGCAACGCCTGCGAGGCTGGCTGCAGAGACAAGGGAGGCAGCTGCCTCAGCTCTAAGTGACACAGGAGCACACAGGGTGGGAGGGAGCGAACTGCAGCACAGGCATGGGCCTGGGCCCGTCACGGACGCCCGTGCTGGAGAATGGTGGAGGAAGACGCGTGGCCGCCGCCCCCAAGCACACATCCTTCTCCCAGCACCTCTCACCTGTGCTTCTCTTAGGACTTCAGATTCTGAAAGCGCAGCCTCACAACACCAGGAAGGTGAGGGCGTGGAGGAGGAAAACCCCCACATCCCCTGGTGGGGGCTCAAACCGGCGCAGCCTCTGGGGAGCACAGTCCAGCAGGTCCTCAAACTTTGGTTAAACACGGAGGGGCCACGTGGCCCGGCCACACCACCGCCAGGTACACACCCGAGAGTAACGACAACCTGTGTCCACACAAAGCTGTGTACACGAATGTCCACAGCAACATCATTTCTAACAGTCAGAAAGTGGAAACCACCCAGGGGACCATCAACTGAAGAAGGGACAAAGTGTGTTCTAGCCACACGGCAGAATATTCAGCCTTCAAAAGGAATGAAATTCTTGACAGATGCTGCAACCTAACCGAACCTTGAAAATATTACACGAAGTGAAAAACCAGACACAAAAGGCCACGTGTTACGGGACTGCCTTTATATGAAAGCCCAGAAGCAGCAAATCCACAGACATAGAAGGCAGATGGCTATCTGCCAGGGGCTGGGGCAGAGAGGACGGGGAGAGACTGCTAATGCGTGAGGGGTTTCTTCTTGGGGTAACGAAACGCTCTCGCATTGGTGGTGAGGGCCGCACGACTGTGACTACAATAAAACCCACCAACTGTACGGCGTAGAAAGGTGAGTTTCACGGTACATGAATCACCTCGGTAAGGCTGTTCTAAAATAAAGGTTTACTATAAACGACTACACGCTAACTCGTGACACCCCTCCTCTGACACCTTGAGGTATCTGCCGCTGGTTCATCTTTACTTCCACATGGCTCGGTTTTCCTTTAACTCAGTAAAAATATTCTCTGAAAAATGAAAGAAAACAACAAAAACAGCACGCACCGAGCTCCCGGGCGCCAGTTACTACACGAGGCTCTTGCTGCAAAGCGTCTGTGTGACGCGCACAGCCAGGGCAGCGCATGGTTACCCGTCTTACAGGGCAGGGAACTCCGTCTGCCCAAAGGAGCAACCCTGCCCAGACCCACCCGCAGGTGCATGGCAGGGGGCGGGGAGCCACGCCGCGCGCTCTGGTCCCACAGGGCCTGACCGCCGTGCCCACCGACTCACAGAGGGCGTGCGCACGCGCCCTCCGCGATGCCACTCTGCGCTCAGCAAGACGCTTCTCTGTGCCAGTGAACAGGTATCGCTGCAGCCCTCAGCAAAGCTCCACTCTGTACCGTGCGCGCTCAGGTGGCTTCTCACGGAAGACCCTCCCTCTGCATCCTTTCCCACCGCGAGCCTGCCTCCCTCCAGCAGACTTCCAGAGTGGGAGAAGCGACCGCAAACGTTGCCAGACAGTGCCGAGTGCCAGGCAATCCCAAAGTGCGGGCCAACGGCTTGTTGAAATCCATTTCTAAGAATGGTTTCATCTACGACGTGCCTGAGAAGCCCTCGGACGCTAACGGCTTCCTGAATCCTCCACTGACTCACCTTCCACAGCCCTCTCTCCAGAGCCCTCAGAGTCAGGGAGGCCGACCGATGCTCCAGAGGCGCTGCCACGTAGGACGAGTCCGGGAGCCGGGGCTCCACCAGCCCGGGGTGGTTGCAGATCCGCTGCAGCCGCATCAGAATGCTCAGGACGTTGACGAAGTGCCCGCTCTTCAAAGCCTCCTGAGTTCTGCTCACGGAAGACAGGAGACGCGGCACTCTGGTGAATGCATGCTGCTGTGAGCCTGCACAACCCCAAACCCTCTCGAACCCGAGCAGGGCCTCCTGCTGCGGACGAGGGGATGCGCATGGCAAGGGCAGCCCGGGCTCACGGTCGGGGCCACAAACCACGGTTCTGTCCACACCGTCTCTGTCCGATAGCCAGCCACGTGCTCACACCATGGCCTCAAAGCCGCCTCTGCCACGGTGCCTCGCTGGGACCCCCAGGTTCTTTTCCCACAAGGAGAGGAACATGTGAGGCAGGTGACCAGGCCAGGCGTGGCGGCCACCTGCCACGCGGGGAGTGTCTGAAATGCGGGGACCCCGTGCAGGCTGTGCGGTGGCATCGGGTCAGACCCATGAGCACACCACACGTGATTCTTCCCAGCTCCGTAAGAGCAGACACACAGCGGGGCGTCATTACCAAGTACAAATGAATTTAAAATCCTACAAAACTTGATTTCCATGACTTTTGTTTTCTCTATAATCTGAACTCAGGGAAACGGCGTGGCAGAAAGAAGCAAAACTGCAAACGAGGGGACTGCGGGGCGGTTCACAGGGCCCCACACTGTGCCGACCGAGTCACAGAGGGACAGCAAGCACGTGGCGCTCGCACTGCCTCCTAACACAGTGCTCCCTGCGCCGCTGGACTGCCCCACGACACCAGCAGGCTGCCCTCCTCCAGGGCCACCGCCGCCCTGAGCCCTGGGTCCTGTGGCTGGGTGAGAAAGACCAGCCAGCCCAGCAGAGCCTCGCTCCCGGGGAAACCTAAACCCAGTATCGTGAGACCGAGCCGGTCGATAGAGGGAGCGGAACGGACGTCACGCTACATATGGGCAGAGACCAGGAGCAGAACCTGAGACAGCCAGTGGTGGAGCAGCCAGAGGGGGACAGGCCAGAAGGGGGCCTGAGAGAACTGGGAACATCAGAGACCGCAGAGCCCTCCGACCCCGGGAAACACCTTGGCCCCCAGCTCCAGAGCCGGGTCCTTCCAGGAGGGAACCTGCGACTGAGCTCACAGGGAGGGTGAAGGGGCGCGTACTCAGACCCCACGCGTACCCGGGCTGCAGAATGACGTCCTCGTACAAGGCTTTCTGCCGATTAGAAAGGCGGCATTTCAAAACATGCTCATATTTCTTTGCCAGCTGCTTTTCCACGTCTCTTTTAGTTCTCCTCAAAATAAATGGCTGCGTGACCTAAAAAGAGACATCTATTGTTCTCTTTCCAGAAATAATGCCGTAACACACTGATAACAAGGCACGCGCATTTCTAGTCGGCTCGCTAGACGCATTTCTAGTCGGCTCGCTAGACGTGAAGGCGGACACACCCTGTGCAGCCGGATCACCACTTTGTGGTAGTAGTCCTGGCTCTCGGGGCTCGGGGCGCGCGGCGGGGAGCTCAGGTACGGTCTGGAGATCCCGGGGATGAGGAAGTGCACCACGGTCCAGAGCTCCAGGAAGGTGTTGTGCAGCGGCGCGTCAATCAGAAGCAGGCGCTGCTGACTGCAGACGGACGAGAGACACCTGTGAAACTCGGGAACACACACAGCTGGGCGCGGGAGCACGGGACGGCAGGGACCTTACGAGCTAACACAAAGGGACGCGTGCCTTGCAGTAACGGACCGAACTGAATGCACTCTGTGGGTCTCTGCGGCCCTACATGCTATGATAAAGGTGAAAGGTGATTCTGTGTGTGTCTGCAATGACCTCAACTTCTTCAAAAGAATCCTTTACGTCAACAAGAACAGAGACACTCAGTGGTGAGAGCGGCACACAGCACCGAGTGGCAGGCCAACCTCTGCAGGGTGAAGACGGCTTCCCAGTGCCTCTCGGTCATGCCCTTTACACGCTGCATCTCGTCGATGACCAGGCACTTCCAGCGCACGCGCGCGAGGGCGGCGTAGCCCCTGAAGAACTGTGTGTAGGACGTGAGGCAGACGTGGAAGCTGTTGGGCGTGGCCCACTCCTGTGGCACAGAGAGAAGAGATCTCAGCACGGCTGTGCTCCCTGTCCTGCCGGCAGTCGCCTCGAAGAGAGCGACTTCCCAGAGCTGTCACCACACGTCAGATATTATCAGTTCCCACCTGTCATAGTTTTACCGGTTTTCTTAAGAACTTGCTATTCTTGCACAGAAAACGGCTGAGTTTATATTTTCATTTTATCCTCTAGGAGTCTAGAGCACTGTTGTTGACAAATTGATAAGTTGCTTTGGAGGCGCCGACAATCTTCATTTGGAAAATAAGGAGATTATCATAGAGGATCGTGAAGATCCTTCTATTTCTACTAGAAAAGGGACAAGCTTTTATCTGAATACGGGAAAAATGTGGTGATAAGAAATGTGCAGCTGAGACCGGGCGCGGTGGCTCACACCTGTAACCCTGCCTAGCACTCTGGGAGGCCGAGGCGGGAGGATTGCTTGAGCTCAGGAGTTCAAGACCAGCCTGAGCAAGAGCAAGACCCCGTTCTCTACTAAAAAATAGGAAAACAATTAGCCGGGCATGGAGGTGGCACTTGGAGTCCCAGCTACTCAGGAGGCTGAGGCAGGAGGATCGCCTGAGGCCAGGAGTTTGAGGCTGCAGTGAGCTGGGCTGATGCCACTGCACTCTAGCTGGGGCAATACAGCGAGACTCTGTCTCAAAAAAAAGAAAAAAAAAGTGAATACCTGTGTTGCAATGGACTGCACTACAAGCTTTCAAAAAACAAATTAAAAAGTAGAAACAGTGCTGTAGCTTGAACATGTCCCCTCCAAAACTCATGGTAGTAGTATCAAGAGGTGGAGACTTCTCTGCTCTCATGAATGGATCAAGGCCTTACACAAGGCTGGAGGGACCTGGCCCAGGCCCTTTTGCCCTGGTGGACCATGCCCACGTCAAAGGTCACACAGCGTTTGACCGTCCCCAGGACACGGCCACAAGGCCCGATCTTGAAAGCGGAAACTAGGCCCTCACCAGACACTGACTCTGCTGGCACCTGGACCACCAGCCTCCAGAACTGAGACATAAATTCTACTGTTACAGATTAGCCAGTCTGTGGTACTTTGTTATGGCAGCACAAATGTAAGAGAGTAAAAAAAATACATCTCAAGGCACTATTTCAGCAAACAGTATAACATGGTAACGTCTAACTGTAAGCCAAAATTTTATATTCAGTGAGAAACTGTGATCAATACACATTTACTTGGTGACCTAGTACTAGAAACTACCCGGTGGACAGGAAAAAAAAGTCGAAATTTCCTCCAGAAACTTACCTGTACATTACAAATATTCCTAAGAAAACATTTTCATGGAAATTATTTTATGAATTTATTAATTCAGAACTCAGGATGCACGTTTTCTCATTCATGCCTGCGAACATCAGGGAAGCCCACAGGTGAAAGGACCGCGGCATCTCCAGGGAAGACCGCGGTTCTGGAAGGAAAGTCCTCACTTCCTGGAGAGTGAAGCTGAGCCCTGCACACACCTGGGCCTGTCTACACGGCCTCCTCGCAGGGAAGGACCAAGCCGATGGGGCATCGTCTATGCTGTCAAGGGTTTCAAGATCTAGGAACAGCCTGAACGTTTGGCATCTCACTAATAAATGATTTATAATAATTACATTGATAAGTATGTCTTCACATTTTTAAATCTGTCTTCTATAAAAATTAAGATGGTTTTCTGTTTAGTTTTATTTTATGTTTTTAAAAAACATACCTGTCTCTTTGCTCTGAGTTCTCTGTGGCTGCCAACATATGAGAGGGTTTTGAGCCCGGGACACCAGCGTTTCAGTTCAAGCTCCCACTTGAGTATGTTACAACTTCTCACCACAACAAGATGAGGGCCCCAATTACCTGCAAAGGAAAAACCACAGAATTTCCCAAAGGGAAAAAGAGAAAATTTTCCACTTTGATCTGTCAAGTCCAGGCACGCAGCACCATGTTTGACCAGAGAAGCTTAATATGCACATGTCAAATGAGCCACTGCACAACTAGAGCAGACACGGGGACACCAGCACAGGCCCCTCTAGTGCCATCAGAGCGCATGGCACCTGTCTCGTGGCTCCCACAGTGACGCCGCAGGGATGCAACGCCTGACCGGGAGGGGGCCCTTCATACATGCATGTTTTTTTTTTTTTTTTTTTTGAGACAGAGTCTCACTGTGTTGCCTGGGCTAGAGTGCCGTGGCGTCAGCCTAGCTCACAGCAACCTCAAACTCCTGGGCTCAAACAATCCTCCTGCCTCAGCCTCCCGAGTAGCTGGGACTACAGGCATGCGCTACCATGTCCGGCTAATTTTTTTCTATATATTTTTAGTTGTCCAGCTAATTTCTTTTTATTTTTAGTAGAGACGGGGTCTCGCTCTTGCCCAGGCTGGTCTCGAACTCCTGAGCTCAAACAATCCGCCCACCTCGGCCTCCCAGAGTGCTAGGATTACAGGCGTGAGCCATCGCGCCCAGCCATACACACAGGTTGAATGAGTCATCACCAAATGAAATTCATGCTGATTGGAACCACAGCGGACCCCTCTATGGACCTGGGGAAGAACCCCTCTCTGCGGTGGACAGCACTCGGGAGTAAGCAGCAAGCACACAGCTGCATGTTCACACCCAGCGCCAGGCCCTGCCGAGGCCTGCCCGCGGGTCAGGTGCCCCTGTGACGCACCCTCAGCCATGCTTTGTTGGCTCAGGGGCTCAGGGGAACCCCGACGCCTGCCCTCCAGTCAGCGCACACCCAAACCACTCCCAGAGAAATAGTTTTAATTTTGTTCTTTGGAAAACTAAGGTTGTTTTAAACTACTACAGTAATACATACGTAACAAACTTCAATTTCTAAGCTATAAATGAAACATAAACCAAGTTAAATGGAAGAAATGGCAGACTTTGAAAAAGTATCAGCAAAACACGTATCTATGGCCATTACTGCTAATTCACAAACCATTCCTGATTCTGGAAGGAAAAAAAAAACCCAATAGAAAAATGAACCAAGAATATGAACAGAAATTTCACAAAGAAAAAATACAAGAGGACAATAAACTCTTTAAAAGACACAACCTCAGGGTAAAGAAACAGAAATCAAACCCAGACAGCATTTTTTCCCCCAGTGAAAACAAGATTAAAAATAAAACAAAGGCAGGCGTGGTGGCACGGGCCTGCAGTCCCTGCTGCTCAGGAGGCCGAGGTGGGAGGATCACTTGAGCGTAGGAGTCTGAGACCAGCCTGGGCAACACTGTAAGATCCTGTCTCTTAAAAAAAAATTTAAAAATTACAACTTAGCACATAACCCCATTCTTTGAAAGGGAAAACAGGTCTATGTATGCCTATCTAAATGTGTCTGGATAAATTTAGGAGAAGGCTGAGCAGGACACACACCACACTGTCCTGTGGTCACCACCTGCGGATGGAAATAGGTAAGTGGGGAAGACTTTTTTCCTTTAAAAAGGAAAAAGAAAACTAGACAAAGTGGTGAGTTATAAACCATTTTTACTTTGTGTGAGTAATCAGCACATCACAGCCAACTCTCAAAGGGAAAGGACTCTTGGGGAAAGCTTTGGTCACAGTGATGAGGGGCCCAAGAAGCCAACCTGGGGCTGGGGACCAAGTGCAACACGAAACACACGTGTGACATGCCCGTGGTCTACCCCAGTGCAGTGGCAGAGCAGGCAGCACCCAGCACGCAGCACCCTCTGCCAGCTCTTCCCTCCCGGGGTGCAGAATCTACTCCCTCCGGGGCCCCAGGCTGCCCTTCTCTCACCAGACGACTCGCTAAGCCGAGTTCCCTCTGGCCCTCGGCACGGTTTGGCGGAACACCGGACAGGGACACCTGTACAGACGCCGACCCCACGCCGGGCAAAGCCACAGCCCTGGCAGGCTCCCTCATTGCCAGCCCAGACCTAGCTAACCGCATCTCCATCCCCTCGCTTTCCCGCCCTGACCCAGCCTTGGCGCTGTTCCTGAACATGCCGCCTGCACCTGCGGCCCCCACACGCTCCGTCCCACCTCCCAGCAATCCCTGCTTCCAGCCCCAGGCTCTGACCCTCCACTGGGTCTTCGGCCCACTTCAAGGCTCGGCGTTCCAGCGTTATGTCTGCGCCGCTGTAGGGTCCTGGGGCAAGGTGCACCCTGGGGCCTAGAAAAGCACCTGATCCAGGGCGGTCACCAGGCAAGGACCCGAGGAACGAGTGACTGATTCCCTCAGTCGTTCCATTCATGAAATAAAATTCCCTGTTTTTTCAAGTATAGGCTACTTTCAATATTTTACTATTATAAAAATAATAATGAACACTTTTTTCACCTAAATAACAAAATAGTGGTTTTTCCATCTTGAAGAAACAATATAAATATATATATATAATTATATATAAAAAAAATCTATTTTAAAGCACTACATTTAAAACTTTTTGATACCTGGTCAAAAACAGAAACAAATTAATGGAAGAAAATTACGAGGTCAGAAGCTGTTCCACTTATACTTAGAAACCGATTATGAGATTAAGCTTTTCAAAATTAAGAGTAAGGAAGCAGCCAGGGGGTATGGCTCACACCTGGAGTCCCACACTTAGGGAGGCCCAGAAGGGAGGATCTCTTGAGGCCACAAGTTCGAGACCAGCAAGAGCAACGTAATGAGACCCCATCTCTACAAAAAATAGAAAAAATTAGCCGGGGTGGTGGCATGCGCCTGTTGTCCCAGCTACTTAGGAGGCTGAGGCAGGAGGATGGCTTGAGCCTGGGAGTTTGAGGCTGCAGTGAGCTGTGATGACACCACTGCACTCTGGCCTGGGTCACAGAGTGTCCCCGTCTCAAAAAATGAAAGAGCAAGGAAGAATGATTTGATAAGAGCGAGTAACAGTTTGGAGGGAAAATGTTTAAAAGAAGCTGCTTCTAAGTCGAGGGGATAATCAGCCAAGTGAAACCCGCCCGCTTCCTGCCTCGGCCCTATCCACTCAGCCCATGCCCCCAGCACTCCACTCCCTTCCATCCGGCCTACAGCTGGAGCACCCAGACTAGCCACCCCCTCCTCAGCTGACCCTCCTGAGCCAAAAGTACCCCCTCCTGACTTTCAAAACTCAAATGTGAAGCAGACAAGGCCGTGCCCACTTTTCTCCACAGCGACAGCAAAGCCCACTCGAAGGCTGTATCTGGAACGCAGGCAGAACCATTGATTCTGAGGTGTTTACTAAGCATTTCCTTTGCAAGAGGAAGAACCGTGAGGCCTGTCCTGTGTCAGAGACACAGTCACGCCCTCTTCTGTAGCCAGGCACACAGCAGGAGGCTGAGCTGGGTGCCTGACCCAAAGGCCGAGAAAGGAAGGGGCATGAACAAGAACCTGACCTCAAAGATCCACCAGGAGGCCGGAAGGCCTGCACAAACTACGGGCCCACCGAAGGGCTGGAGAGGGCACACAGGCGGCAGGGCAGCCCACAATCAGGGCTGCTGGGCCCACGCAGGGCACCACGCCCGCTCCGCAAGGACTCAAGCAGGTCAGAAACACTGGCCAGGGAGGTGCAATCCAGCAGGAGAGGAGAGAAGGGCACGTGTATCACAAGGCGAGGAAGATGCAGGGGCCGGCATGACAAGCCACACCATGGGCGATGCTGACCGAGTGCACGGCTGGCACGAGGCTGAGAGCCCAGTGGCCCTGGCTCACACTGCTCTAGAAGCAGCACGGGCAGCTCTGCCACCTGCTCTGCTGCTCACACGCTGCAGGGTGACACCTGAAGTCACAGAGCTCAGCCACAGCTGGGTGGGTCTCTGCATATTTGATTTTGAAAATAGTGAGTTACTCATCTAATGCTAACTGTGAGCAAGTTTTTTATGTGTTCATGCAGCAAGTATTTCTGAGCCTCACTCTGCTCAGGTCAAAGGACAGGGACAAAGTGGATAAAAAGACCACACACTCCCCTCACGTCAGGTACACTGGCCTAGGGTTAAGTCTTAGCAAACAGATGTTCAAAAAAGGGAACTCTTACCTTCATTACAAGCGAGATGAGCAAAAAAAGCAATGATCTGCACTGTTTTACCAAGCCCAGCTTCATCGGCCAATATGCCATTGAGATTCTTTCGGTAGAGTTTGGCCAGCCAGTCCAGGCCGATCTTCTGATAATCTCTGAGAGCCCCATACAGCAAAGACGGAGCGTTAAACTTCACCTGCAGTGACAGACCAGCCAGAGAATGACTGCTTGTCAACATGACCACCGGAACATTCTCCTAAAACCAACACCACCACAGGCACACGATGAACTGAGTGGAAAGCCATAAAAGTGGCCTACAGAAACAGGAAGAGAAAGATCCAGAATTGCTTTTTCTGACAGCTTCTGCAGCTGGGATAAAGTGCTTCTTTGGAAGCAGGAAGAGCTTTCCTCGTGAGCCATTAAGACACGTGTGTTCACTCACAAAGACCTGTCCCTCACGTGACAGTCTCACCGAGGTCGAGACCCGCGCGCTGCCCTTGGGCAGGATGGCTTCAGCCACAGCAGTGACCTCCGCGACGTCCTTGGTGTTCGGTTTCCCGATATTCATTCTCTCCGCGGCTTTAAACTGATCCATGATGAAAAGTGAGTCGATGAGAATCAAATCCTTCCGACACTCCCTGTCGCCTAGACAGTCGTCCACGTCTACAACAACAACAAAACAAAGGAAATTGGGGGCTGCTGGGGTAGCTTTATGAAAGAAAACATTAAAAGAAAAAAGCGAAAAGTTTATAGAAACCAAATACTTCAAACACAGAATTAAGTAGTAATTTTTTGTTTGTAATCCATTTTATCTACCTAAGCATTGCTATCTGGATAAATGGGCAAGAATTTTCATGAAACTATAAAACTTAGGACCATTCTGGAAAGCTCTCAGAGTATAATTTGCCCCAAATAACCTGGTATCTGGAAAACATCTCTACAGAGATTAGGAGCTAGTATCATGGATGGATTTATGAGTATCTCAGGGTTTAGTGATCTCCCCTCCACCACCAAGAAAAGAAAAATCAGAAATGTTTCCTAAATGTGGGAAACAAGGAAGAGGCCACCTCTCCTGCCTCTGGGTCCCACTGCCAGCAAGACGTCCTGGAAGGCCCTGGGCTCCCCAAGGAGGCCCACGGGACCTTCCATCACGGGAACGAGAACGGGCAGGTAGACTCTCTCTGGTGTATTCTGTGTACCTGTGTGGACTGTCTAATAACAAGTAAAATAAACTACTCAGAACTGGTATGTTAGACAAACTTAGCACAGCCTGAAAAAATAGGATAATATCTAGGTCCATAAAACAATGACTTTTATAAATGCAGAGAAAAATACTTCCACATCCTTCACAACTTGATCAAGTGTTCCAATAACTGTACCAAGTTAATACATAAAAAGCATAGGATTTAATAAAATTCTATTCAATATAAAATTACATGTTACATACATTTCCAATTTTTTTCTTTCACCAAACTAAAAGACATTTTTTAAAACTTATGTTAAGCTTTCACCTGCATTTTGGCTTTTGTTTTTCAGTCTGGAGTCTTTAAAAACGCTACCAACGTACCTTCTTCTTCGCTTGTCTCCTCGCTGTCAGGCTTTGGCTGCGGCCACTGGAAACCCGGCAGGAAGGCGCCTTCGTACAGCTTCACCAGGTCCACCAGGGGCAGCTCGGCTGGGGGGCGGCAGGCAGAAAGGCCGTTACGCCCTGACAACAGTGTCCACTAACTGGGAAGAAACGGCTGCCAGGAGAGCCCACAGCAAGGGTACAAAGGGGATTCTTCCCACGTACATTCCTTTTCCTGGCTTTAGATCACTCCTTAGAAAAAGAATTTATTTTCTAAAAGCATATTTATTTTTTTAAAAAACTTAAAAATTTTGTCCATTGCTGATGCTTTGTAAAAAAAAAAATTTTAGGCTTTGTAACATGAGGATCTCTAAACTGAAAAAACTTAATTTTATTCATAAAAAAACGAAATTCTGAAATCATCTAATAAGTGAATAGTAACACTACAGACTAAGCAATAAAAATATCAAAATTAATACCACTGATAGAAAATAACCAATGGATATGATACCAAAAACGCAGAAAAAACGTTCAGAAAGTATGATAAAAGACTGGTAAGCTTTTTGCATAAAACACTGACCCTAACTGCTTTAAAAAAACACCACGTTATCAAATGGGAAGAGGGTACGAAGCTGTTTCACGAAAACCACAGCAGGAAGGGCCAAGACAGCTTTAACTGAGCATCTCTAGAAATCAGACGTCTTCTGCCAGATTGGCAACCATCTTAAAATCATAATATTAGAAAAACAGAATGAATCGGACACTCTCGAACACTGCTGATAATGGTGCATAAACTGGCTTAACTTTTCTGCAAAAATTTTTTCTATGGAAAGCGGAAAAGCTTTGGAGCTATGGCCTTGCCTCATTATCCTCCACATGATGCGTCTCCCCAGGGACACAAAAAACTGGACCCAGAGTCGTGTTCAAAGACTTCCACACGTGTCGGCTGCAACAGGGGAAAACGTGTGCACTGGGCTGTGTGCTTGTCATGCGTGAACTTGCCGTACGTGCCCTGTGGGTCAGCAAAGACTGCAGACCCAAAATAACAAACGCCACACGTCCTGGCACAGCCACGGCAGGGGTGCTGTCCATTTCAGACAAGCAAGAATCCCTGCAAGCCCATGTGCTCACGATTTAAAATACTCGCCACACTGGACTGATGGACAGATGTGCGATAAAGGAAAGTAAAATTAGGATGTGCAGGTGACCGGGCTGCAACATCTGCCACCCCACTGGTGGCTGGGGTGAATTCGCTGATCTGGCTGGCCAGGCCGGCGTCCCCTTCCTCCCTCACCGCTCCATGTGTGTCCCTCGTGTCCCTCCCGAAGCTGCGTGCTAGGTCACAGCAGACAACCTTCCCCGAGGGAGGAGGACCGTGGTATACAAGTAGCTGCGCCCCCCTGCTAGAACCTCTAAACAAGCTCTCGAAACAAGTAAAACTAAATGTTAACTGCAGAATCTAGGTGGTGGGCACACGGTGTTAATATAAGGCTCTTCCAACCTTCCTGTATGTCTGAACGTTTCCATAAAAAACGTATATATAGGCCGGGCGCGGTGGCTCACACCTGTAATCCTAGCTCTCTGGGAGGCCGAGGCGGGCGGATTGTTTGAGCTCAGGAGTTCGAGACCAGCCTGAGCAAGAGCGAGACCCCGTCTCTACTAAAAATAGAAAGAAATTAATTGGACAACTAAAAATATATAGAAAAAATTAGCCAGGCATGGTGGCCCATGCCTGTAGTCCCAGCTACTCGGGAGGCTGAGGGAGGAGGATCGCTTGAGCCCAGGAGTTTGAGGTTGCTGTGAGCTAGGATGACGCCACGGCACTCTAGCCTGGGCAACACAGTGAGACTCTGTCTCAAAAAAAAAAAAAAAGTATATATACATCATATAATGGCTATATAAATATGAAAAAACAGGAGAAACAACTGAAAAACTGTTACAATAATAAGATAAGTCTGTAAGGTATCTTAGAACAAACCTAATGCACAAAAATCAACAGCCTCCACACATATAAATTAGTTGGAAGAAAGACTCTCATTTTGACAGAAAAGTGAATACAGTCGTCCCTCAGTAACTGTGGGGGTTGGTTCCAGGACCCCCCTAGATACCAAAACCCACGGATGCTCAAGTCCCTGACAAAGTGGCACCGTATTTGCACACAACCTGCGCAGGCCCTCCTGCGTGCGTTCGGTCAGTCTGGACCACTTACCACACCTGATGTGATGCAAATGCTACGTAAACAGTTGTTATACTGTGTTTTTTATTGTTGAATTGTTATTTTTAATTCGGTTTTTTTCTTCTGAGTATTTTCCATCCTTGGTTGGTTGAATCTGCGGATTGCGAACCACAGATGTGGAGGACTGCCTGTACTTAGAATTAAACTTTCAAAAGTGTGGGTCTCCACGCAGAAAGCACTGACGGGTTCCTGAGGACCACGAAGGAAGCCTGACCCCGTGAGAGGCATCCCTGCTCAAGGATTCAGCTGCACGCCACACCACCACGGGGATGTCCCCGAGCCCACCTCCTGGAGTGCACCCCAGCCCCTCCCACACTGAGCAGGGCTGAACCACGGACTTCTCAGGCTCAACGACGAAGGACACTGCAGTGTCCGCCCTGCCCCTCATGGCCTGAGGACACTCGACGTCCAGCGAGAACCTGCCAGCTGGCGGGACAGACCGCGTGAAATGGGCTCCTGCAGCCTGCCCACGCCAAGCCTCAACGACTGCATCTTCATGAGAACTGAGCCACCAACTCCCAGCTGGGGTGTCCCAAATTCCTGACTGGCACAAAGTGCTAATGCATGAAATTAACGTGATTCTAACAAGTCGAGAATACCCACCATAATCAGATAGCCACCACAAAAAGAACAAAGAAGTGTAACTAAAAAGCTAACAGAGAAGATAAAATTTTTAAATACTTGATCAATGCTTAAAGTAAGCATAAAGGAATGAATAAAGAACAGATAAGATAAACACAAAACTCACTGAAAAACTGTAATAGATGTAAGCCCAACTAGAACAGACTTTACCACAAACGTTATTAAACACTCCAGTTTAAAGACACAGAGATAATTAGAATAAACTGAGTGGGGGAAAGACCAACTATATGCTGTTTACAAGAGACACTTTAAAATAAAAACATACATGAGAACTTATTGGAAACTCTCTAAAGGAAACTCTTTCTAACATCAGGCCTAAAAGATCTGTCACAATGAAGTTCCAATAAATTGCCAAAAATCACAAGGTACACAAGCAAACGACGTACCATCGGCAGAAACCAGGCAGAAACAAACGACAGCAAAATTAGACCTGCAAAATCTTCACACGCGGAATTACCAGGCACAGATTATAAAACACTGTATTCAGAGACGACTGAATATGTCAACGAAGAGCAAGAGATAACTTTGAAGGTCCATGTAGATTTTTTTCCTTTTCCATCATTCTTGCTCTCATTTTACATGCACATTTTTTTTATCCATAAAGAATGTCTAGAAACACATTGTGGTAAGTGAAATTTAAAACTCACTGAATGGGTTAAGAACAGATTAGGAACAGCTTAAAAGAGAATTCATAAAATAGAAATCAGATCTGATAAAATTATCTAGAATGCGGTAAGAAATGATAAAGTGATAGGATAACAATTCTAAATCTAAATATGCATCTAAAAACAGTCTCAAAATACAGAAAATAAAAATTAACAGCAATATGAGGAGAATAGGTGCTCACTGTCACGAAGGGAAATCTCCCCACAGCTCTCCTAGTAACGGGTAGAGCACGAGGACGAGAACTATCAGTGAGGGTCAGAGGCTGGACGATGCCGTCGGCAAGTTCTACCCCGTGGACACAGAGAGGAAGCTGCACCGTGAACTGCTGTTTAAAGCATTCATAGAACAGCTAGGAACTGGTCCATTCAAAAACTGCCTCAACAAAATTCAAGTAAGAATCATATAAATCCACTCTCATCAATATGCAATTAATGTAGAATAATAAAAAATATATATCCAAAACCTTGTATTGTTTTAAAATTAAGAAACATACTTCTACATAACTCAAGGGTCAATAAAAAAAATTATAGGGGAGGCCAGGCCCAGTGGCTCTTGCCTGTAATCCCAGCACTTTGGGAGGCCGAGGAGGGAGGATTGCTTGAACCCAGGAGTTTGAGACCAGCCTGGCAATATAGTGAGACCCTGTCTCTACAAAAAATTTAAAAATTAGCCAGGCGTGGGGACAAGCGCCTGTAGTCCCAGCTACGTGAGAGGCCAAGGTAGGAGAATCGCTTGAGCCCAGGAATTCAAGGCTGCAGTGAGCTGTGATGATACCACTATGTTCCAGCCTAGGCAACAGAGCCAGACTCTGTCTTCAAAACAAACAAAAACACCCCAAAAAAACCCCATAACTATACATCATGCTCAATGGCGAAACATTAAAAGCATCACCATAATCACCCTAATAGTGATGATTAGGTCCAACTCATTAAAAAGCTGCAAGACCCAAACCAAGGACTCCGACAAAAACAGGACAACAGGATGCAGTAAAAACACTGGTTAAGACCAGTAATAGCCAAGACGGCATCAGACGGACTCTGCCCACTCTTGCAGCTCTCCATACCCTGCTTGTAAAGCATCAGCTACCAAAAGACACTCTCACCAGCACTGTGACACTTTACAATCACCATGACAACCCCTGTAAATTACCTGGCTTGTATGAAGAGAGGAAACACCCATTCTTGGAACTCTCTGCCCCTTTCCCAGAATTCATGAATAATCCACCCCTTGTTCAGCTTATAATCAAGAGACATTCACAAATAGAGTTTGCAAGCAACGTGCAGGGGCTACTCTGTCCATGGGGTAGCCCGCTAGCTGTCTGCTTAATAAATGTTGCTTTCATTTCCAACTAACAGCTTGCACTTGAATTTTTTCCTACACGAAGCCAAGAACCCTCTTGGCCTTCAGGCTGGACCCCGCTTTGGGGTCCACTTTCTGGTGTCAACAGCAGTAGCCAAGAGTGCTCAGTACCTGTCAGGCCAAGTCTCCCTTGTGCTGTATCCTCAGAACGACATGTGAAGTGGGAACTACCATCCCATTGTCCAACTGAGGAAAATGTCACAGAGAACTTAGATGATCCGACCAAGGTCATGGGGTCAGTGGGCAGCAAACGCGAGACAGGAACCAAGCAGCTGTGCCTCCTCCACCACCACAAGATACCGCCTTCCTGACAAAAGTGCTGCCAGCAGGAACGCACCAGCTGTCCACCACTGGCACCGACTTGACAGTTGATCCAAGTCCGACCCATCACAAAACAGCAAGGACAAGTAAGAAAAGGAACACGGATTATAAAGAAGAACCTGTCATTCTTCAGAGAGAAGTGATTGTATACAAAGAATTAATGAGAGTTCAGCAAAGTTGCTGGTTATAAAATAAACAAAATCAACTGAATTTCTGCATATCTAAAAAATTTAAAATATAATTTTTTTGTTTTTTTTTTGAGACAGAGTCTCACTGTGTTGCTGGGGCTAGAGTGCCGTGGCGTCAGCCTAGCTCACAGCAACCTCAAACTCCTGGGCTCAAGCAATCCTCCTGCCTCAGCCTCCCGAGTAGCTGGGACTACAGGCATGTGCCGCCATGCCCGGCCAATTTTTTTTATATATTTTTAGTTGTCCAATTAATTTCTTTCTATTTTTAGTAGAGACAGGGTCTCGCTCTTGCTCAGGCTGGTCTCGAACTCCTGAGCTCAAACGATCCGCCCGCCTCGTCCTCCCAGAGTGCTAGGATTACAAGCGTGAGCCACCGTGCCGGGCCTAAAGTATAATTTTAAAATATACCATTTAGTACTTCAAGAAGTATACAGCACCTAGAAATAAATCTAACAAAAGACAGATAATTATAAAATTTTATTGAAAGCTATTTAAGAAAACCTAAGTAAACTGAGAACTGTATTTTGATAACAGATTGGAAAGGCTCAACTCCATAAAGACGGCAATTCTCACCAACACCCATTAATACAATTAAATTTGAATCAAACTTCCCCACAGGTTTTTCTGTGAAACTCGATGAACTGATTCTATAATGTATCTGAAATAGTCCCCAAATCATCAAGACTCTCCTAAAACACAGCAAGGTAGAGGAACTTACCTACCCAGACATCAAGAACTATTATAAAGCTACAGTAATTAAGATAGTGTAGGATTAGCACAGCAATGGGTACAAACTGGCCAATACAGAAATAAAGATCCCAGAAAGAGACACACATAAAGGAGACTGAATGTATGTTTAAGCTGGTACTGCAGTCAGCGGGGAGAAGATGGGCTTTTCAAATGGTGCCAGGACAGTTAGTTACGCATTTGAAAAAAATGAAAAAAGGAAATCGTGCCCTTATTTCACATCAGACAGAAGCAACTGTTTCTTGGAGACAGGGTCTCACTCACTATGTTGCCCAGGCTGGTCTCAAACTCCAGGCCTCAAGTGATCCTCCCACCTCAACCTCCAGAGTGGCTGGGACTACAGGCATGTGCCACCGAGCCGGGCTGAAAAGCAATTCTTGATGGACTAAAGACACGATACAGGATTAAAGACAACAATCTTTAGACGATGGTGCAGGAGGACACTCCCGTGAATAAGACTGACAGATGCAACTACAGGAAGTCCTCACTTGACGTCCTCAGTAGGTTCTTGGAACCCGCAACTGTAAGCAAAGCCACGTACAGCTGATCCTCAAACAACATGAGTTGAACCTTGAGGGTCCACTTAATCCAGATGTTCTTCTGTCTCTGCCTCCCTGAGACAGCAAGACTCACCCCTCCTCCTCCTCAACGGGAAGACGATGAGGATGAAGACCTGTACGATGATCCACTTCGACTCCATGAACAGTAAATATATTTTCTCTTATGACTTTTTTTTTTTGAGACAGGGTCTCCTCTGTCACCCAGGCTGGAGTGCAGTGGCATCATCACAGCTCACTGCAACCGCAAACTGCTGGGCTCAGGCGACCCTCCCGCCTCAGCCTCCCGAGTGCTGGGATCACAGGCGTGAGCCACTGCGCCCGGCCTCTTATGACTTTGGTTTTTTTGCTTGTTTTGTTTTTTGCAAATTTAACCTGATAATTTATTTGTGAAAATAAGATAGTTTTAATAAGAAAAAGTTGAATACTTTCCTTGTAAACACAAAGAAACTGAATAGGAATTTTATAGGTAGCAGATCAGAAAATCCAACACTTAACTCTTATAATTCTTTTCAATTAAACAGACAAATCAAGTTGAAGACAAATGTTTTTCAGCCTGAATATATATCAGCCTATATATCCTGTTGTCCCAATTGGCCTTTGATTAAAAAAACAAGAAACTTTTTATAAGAGCTACCACATCTAGAAGTGATAAAAATAAATTAGTTGCCCCCCCGCAAAGCTACGTAATATCTCATACAAAGTAACCAGAGTTCTTACAAAAGTAATGCAGTTTTGGACGATGATATTACACTGCATTTGTGAGGAAGCACTAGGCAAGAGAATGTATGTATCAAGTAGGCATTTTCAGTCTACGCGGACCCTAAGGTTGTCATTTAATCCTTAGCAATATATAACAGCGGGTATGCGTTTCGGTGCTGGAGTCATGGGTTGTGGAGAAGCAGCAGCAGCGCATTACAGTAGCGGGGTCTGTGTCTCACAACCACAGCACTGAACAAAAATCTTCTGTGAACTCTGTGATCTGTTCTGCTGGTGGCTGCCTGTGGCAGATCCTTGATTTGACTGTTCCGCATTCGTGCCTTCTCCATCAGTGTCTCTAACGTTTCTTCATCTTCCTCCTCATCCTGTAGGCCCTTGGAAATTAATCGTCCAGCTAGTTTAATAAGCAGTCCCTACTGCAGTGAAGCTTCCTTTGCATTTCAAATTGTCGCTTTGTTCCCTGGTTCACCAGGTGAGAGGCTGCTGTCCTCCTCTCCCGGGCTCCAGCAGCAGCTCGTCTCTCCGCTAAGGCCCCTGGAGTCCTGGCTTCCGTGGTTTCCCAATCACTGCACGCACCTCCGTCATCACCTCTCATGCTATGGTTCATCTATCTCATCCAACTGCAGTCCTCGTCTGCTGGACAACACGTCACCAGGACGTTTACTTCATCCACTTCTGGGATTTTTCACTCATGGACACTCTCAGGGCTATTCGGCCGACACTACCACGGAGGTCGTGGAGGTCTTGCCTACCACGGAGGAGGACGTGGAGGTCTTGCCCACCACGGAAGAGGTCGTGGAGGTCTTGCCCACCACGGAGGTCTTGCCCACCACGGAAGAGGTCGTGGAGGTCTTGCCCACCACAAAGGAGGTCGTGGAGGTCTTGCCCACCACGGAGGAGGTCGTGGAGGTCTTGCCCACCACAAAGGAGGTCGTGGAGGTCTTGCCCACCACAGAGGAGGTCGTGGAGGTCTTGCCTACCACGGAGGAGGTCGTGGAGGTCTTGTTCTTCAGGATCCCCTTGATGGGCCAGTGCGAGGCTGTTGAGGTCACCATTGCCGGAAACTCTGGCTGTCAGCTCAGGTCACTACTTGGCATGGGATCCTCGAAGAGAAGGGACAGGTGCTCACAGACACCAGCCAGGCAGCCGCGGAGCCCACCTGGGGCCAAAGCAGCCACACCTGCTATCTCAGAAACAGCTACCGGCATCATTCTCACGACACAATGACCCTGGATGCCAGAGCCCAATGCAGCACAGGTGGTGGCCCTTTGAGGACCCTTGCTGCAGGCACTTTATCCAAGACTCGTGGAGAGACACCAGCCTGGTTCTTATGACTTTCTTAATAACATTTTGTTTTCTCTAGCTTACTTTATTGCAAGAATACAGTATATAATACATACAATAAAAACATACAAAACATGTATTAATTGACTGTTTATGTTATCAGCAAGGCTTCCACTCAACAGTAGACTATTGGTAATCAGTTTTGGAGGAGTCAAAGTTATATATGGGTTTGCAACTGTACAGGGAGTGGAGGGGGCGGCACCCCAACCCCTGCATTGTTCAAGGGTCAACCGTATAACTAACTTCTTTCTCATCAACATTACAATGAAAAGACATTGAAGGAAACAATGTTACTCTAGTGCCTGCTGATTGTTTTGCCCATGACACTGAGGACTCACTATACACTGAAAGTAAGAACACCTCTCATTACAAGGTACCACAAAGAGAAAGGAAAGACCCATCACCAAGTGGGACAAGGTCACTGCAACATGTAAGCGACAAAGAATCACATCCAGAGCATATAAAAAACACCCACAAGTTGGTAAGGAAAAGAAAACCCAATATCAAACGAGCAAAAGACAAAGGAAGAAACACAAAAAGATGCTCCACCTCGTTAATTATCAGAGAAAATCAACTTAAAACCACAAGGACATACCACCTGTCACCAGTCTGGCAAAAACTTCCAAGGAAACAGAAGGAAGTGTTCCTGAGACGTGGAGCTCAGCACACCCACCCTAAAAGAGCTGACAATGTTTGGTGAAGTCCGACATACCCCCAGCCCTGCTCTCCTACTCCTCAGCAAACACAGAGTCCCTCGTGCACCCGGCCTGGGGCATAGCTCATGGCAGCACGGCCCTAAGGGCAAGTACAGGGAACAAGCCCACTACCCGATGACGGCACAAAAGTAACTGGTGACATCTTTACATAGGGACTACTGTGTGGCAGAGAAAATTAACACAAACACAACACCACACAACAATGGGACGGGAACTCAGAACATAACGGCCAAGTGGAACGGGTGAGCCGTAAACCTGCAGTTTGACTCCGTCCATATGGAGCTCTGACACCAGGGAGATGTGCGCAGGCAGCAGGGAGAGAGGGGGGTGGGCAACACGCGATCCAGGCAGCCGTCACCTCCCGGGTAGAGGATATCGGCAGCAGGAGGGACGTGGGGACTGCGGTTCTCCACCTGGGCAGTGCTACTGGCCACACCAGTGCCTGACAGGTTGTTATTTATGTCTGACATATCATTTTAAAATTTTTTTACATCTACTTCATGCTTAGCAAAAGCAGTTTTTAGTAAGATGCTGACAGCCTACCTTCTTTGGCTAAATTAGAGAGCTCTGCCTGGTGGTCCACGGCCCCTTCGCTGGCTTCCTCCTCCTCGATGGTCTCCTCTTCGTCCTCCACTGAAACGGGTACCACAGACATCAGCGAGGGAAGCAACCGGCCTCCGTCCAGTGACTACGCACGGCACAGCTTCGCAGCTGTGAGTTACCTGAAGACACTAAAACTGAGTCTTTAACTATCTCAGGTTACATCTGGAAATGACAGTTTAATTAAATGAGCAGGAAACTGAGACCACATTTCCCCTTCCATTCGGGCTCTGGGTTACGGCCCTGGCTTTTCGATACACAACAGACCCACACACAGAGCCATGTTACTCTCCACCCGCCCGTGAGCCCCACCACAGAAAACCTACCAGCGTGCTGCTCAGGACCACCGTGGACTCACCCCGCCCGACCCACACGCACCCCGGCTCTCCTGCCCTCCACGACCACAGCCCACCACCAGCGCCCTCTCCTCAGACCTCCAACCCAGAACCTCCAACATGACTCGCAATACAGGTCTTGGCTCTTGGTGGAGAAAGGAGAATCTACCAGCAACCCAGCATCAAACTCCTGCCGACGGACGCCCTCTCCACCTGGGGCCTGGCCAGGTGAACTGCACCTTCTCTCCCTCTCACTGGCTCCTCCCACCAATACTCGCCCCGCCCAGTCCCTGCTCCCCTTCCCTGACAGACAGCCCAACACCGCTAGCGTCCAGTCGAGCTCCTCACTCCTTCATGGCAAGACGCCCGCCGCCCACTGGGTGGCCCAAGACACCCAACCCCAACCACATAAGACCCTGGAGCCCCGAAGGCTCCCACGCCCGACTGTCTCCACGCCCTGGCAGTGAGGGGCAGGGCCAGCCCTCCCTTCCCCTGAAAAGGCCTCCGCCCCTCTGATCCCACGGCTTCCAGAGAGGAGAGCTTTGGAAAGGAGCAGTCAAGAGGAGGCAGGGTGGTTAATGTGTTTTTCTGAGTTACGCTAAGACATCTTTAAACCTTAAATGAGCGTCAAACAAGCTAAATATGTTTCAATACAGTCACGGGAGACATAACAACGGACCATACATACGACAGTGGTGCCATCAGACTGCCGCGCTGTATTTCACTGCGCCTTTCTATGTTCAGACACACGCTCACTCACCACCGTCACAGCAGCCGACAGTACATGCTGCGCAGGTCTCCAGCCTCGCAGCAGTGGGCTGTGTCGCACAGCTTAGGTATACAGTAGACCGTACCACCCAGGTTTGTGTAAGGACCAGCGCCTAACGGCGTGTTTCCCAGAACATCGCCCTCATTACGTGACGCACGACTGCACGTAACCTTGCTCCTGGGAACGTGGGAGAATGTGACAGGGGAGAGGTGCATCTGCACACACCCAGCAACAGCTCCCAGAGCCCAGCACAGGGAGAAAGAGTTCCTCGTGGAAAACGACCTAATTATTTTCCAGATGACAAGAAACAGACAAATCTATCGCATTCCACTGTGTTGCTGCTGTCGCCTAAAAGGTCGGCGTTAAATTCATCCACAAGCGCCGGAGGATGTCACCGGGAATTCTGGCACCAGCCCCCAGGGCGCAGCACACCGAGGGCACACGAGCACCCCGCGTGGGGGATGCGCCTCGGCCCCTCACTCCAGGGGTCAATCTAAACTGCTCTGCGTGTGGTGCGTTAGCTGCTACAGTCTATGCTAACCCTTTACAGGACGATGTGTGTTTGGGGGAAGACAGAGAAGGGGACGGGGCTGCTCAGCTTCACAGCTTAAAGGTATAAACTGTACTGTAAAGACCCAGAGATCAACAGAATATAAATCCCACAGTGTCAGGAGAGAAAAGACTGCAATCTCCCCCGAAACAAGCTAGACGGACAACACTACCCCACGCACATCACGCAAAGCAGTTACTACTGAGCCTCCAACTTCGCCAAACTAATTCACCCCCTCAGGTGTTCCCTGGCCACTTAAATACCTACAAAGAAAATCATTTCCAATCATGTGCGTGGCCAAGACTGCAAGCTGCCCCACAGCATCTACTCTCCACTTCCCCCAAGCCCACTGCTTGAGTCACACACCCCAGCCTCCCCAGGGCAGCAGCTGGCCAGGGACGGCAGGGAGAAGCACTGCTGGGTCACACCGCTGCTCCTCTGACTCGCCCTCGCCTTGGAGAGTAGCTGCAGGAGCCGCTGCCCAGGACAGTAGCTGAACAAGGAGACTGGGTGCCAGGATGGAGGAGCTAACAGACAGGAGAAGCAGGGGCCCCTGAGAACACCACGAAGACGCCATCGTGCCGGGCTGGGTACCCCCAGGCTTCTAGCTCATCTGAGCCACTGTTACTGATATTTTATTTCTCCTGTCATGTACGGCAAAACTTAATCCTGACAGAGTTTCATGCCAACAATCTGGCCAAACTCCCCCTGACTTCCAAATAAGAATCGATACACACTGCAACATCAACCCTTCAGCATCGGGACAAGTTACTACACTTTGCCAAACCAAGCCAGTAACCCCACCCTGATGCTGGCCGAAGAGCTGCCAGGGAAAGCGCAGGCCTCCCCGGCACCTGAGCGGCACCACCACAGTGTCACACAAGTGTCCTCCGACACGCTGCTCCCGTCCTTCCTCTGTCCCTGGGCCCAGGACCCAGCCCTGACACTGCTGCACCACAGTGCACATGGGTCTGGAAACAGGTCATAAGCTGACGGCCACAGGCTGTCCCCAGCTCACACACACCCAGTGGTCATGCGTCTGTTCTCATCCAAATAAGGCACCAACACCTAAAATTCACGAGAGCTTCTCCTGACAAGCCGGGCCTGGCGACCACGGGCCACCACCCGACCACCAGGGCGGCCCTCAGGGCAGGAACAGACCCGGAGCAGCACCACCGAGCGTGGCCCCAACGCTTGCAAAGACACGCCTGATTCCCAAACCTCACAAAAGCAGATACATCATGCTGCTCCAGAAAACATCCCAAGTCCTCTAGAGACACTAAAAAGTGCCCTGCACTGAGAGAAGTCTGGATAAACACCAAGGTTAAACTTTCCGACTGGTTTAAAATGACAAGACTAAAGCCAAAGTCACCGCAGCTCCGAGGTTCCGGCAGCACCGAGTGAGCATCCCAAGTGCGAGGGCAGCGAGAGCCCTGCAGACAGTAAAGACAGCACCAAGGGGAGGGGAACAGACCTTCGTCGTCAGTCAGAGACGTGCTAGCTTTTCTTTTTCTTCCAGACATTCCTGAATCCTGAAACACAGAAAAATCACGAACATGAGATCGAAACAGACAGGATGGGAAACCGAGCCAGAAACGTCTGTTAGGACATTTGCCCGCAGCACAGAGGGAGCCCCGGGGCAAGCCTGCCGGGCCCTCCCCAGCCTCCACTCAGGGCACTGGCGGGGTAAGGACGTGAGTCTACAATCGCTGCGTTCAGCAGCTGTGTCTTCCCGAATCGCTGAATTAACACCCAGGTGACACTAAAGCTATACAGTTCCAGCTCACTTTCAAAGTAGACTCATCTCATAACGAAAGGGAATGATATCCATAACCTACACATTTCTCCACAGGAAAACAAGTAGCTCTATTTTATTAGAGCATTGTACTTTATTCACGTTGCCTCCATTCTTTCTTATAGAGTACGATAATCATCCTGAACTTACCAGAAAATTTTCTGGTAATGCATCAAATCCTTTAGGTCTCAACTCTTTTCCTAAAGAGAAAAAATACATGATTAGTTTTCACTAAAGCTGTGGAGATGACACTCTTCACAATCAGCAGGGCATCTCTGCTCATCTAAGTCACGTCCTGCTGCCACCGCCTACGGGCAAGGAAAGACAGGAAACAAGTTCTGTCTCCTCCCCCTAGTGATCCAAGGCAGTGGTTTTGGGGTTTTTCTTTTGTTTTGTTTTTCAGAGACAAGGTCTTGCTATGTTGCCCAGGCTGGACGCAAACTCCTGGGCTCAAACGATCCTCCTGTCTCAGCCTCCAGAGTAGCTGAGACTACAGATATACACCACTGTGCCCAGCTGGCAATAGTTTTTATTATTTTATATTCTGTGACTTTCAGCACTGGCCACCTCACCCTCAGTTTCCTCATCAATAACAGCCTTATGCCCACCCCTCCCAGGGACATCCTGAGAATCCAACGAGACAGTGAATGCTGCCTCCATCGGTGCCTGGCATCCACCACGGTGTCCAGTAAGTGGAGACAGCTATCGCAGAAATAGCTAAAGGAAGAACCATTCGAACACCCCGCACAGGAAGCTGCCCAGGGGATCTCTTGCGTGGCAGATGTCTCAGTGAGTTCACTCACTGTCCAGGGACTGAATTCAGGGCGTCAGCTCAGAACCTCAATTCTGAGTATCCCAGAGGTGATCAACTTGGGGGTTCTGACTCACACTAGCACATCTCAAAAGAACTGGGATGTAAACTAGAAGGGCTGTACGAAGAGAAAGGGCCTAATCAGGCAGACCAGCTGCTCACAAGCGCCCTCCAGGGCAGGCTCCACGGTCAGCTGTGATGCCAGGAAGCTGCCTGGTAAGCAGAGAAGCTGAACCAAGTACAATTCAGAAAATGTTAAGGCTTTTTTTAAAGTATCATACCTCTCCTGGAAACTTTCTGTAAATTTAAGGCCTTTTTTCTTTTTTCTTCTAATTCTACTTGTAGTTTTATTTCCACAACCTAAATACAAAGAGTTAAAGAAATGAACATGTTATTAAGGATGCAAATTATAAAAGCACTGCATAGAAAAACATTAAAACTCATAGTCTAAAAGCATGGTTGTCCTATTTCATTTCAAATTACTTCAATAAGAAATTTTCAGTTTGGTTCTTTTTCATTTATCTTGTATCTAACTACATCCTGCCCAAATTCTATTAGGTGGTGAGATAAGAATTAAAATTTTACAAAAGGAGTGAGTGAGCAGCGAGGGAGCAGGCAATCTGGAGATGAGCCGCCTCCAGAGACTCGCACAAATACGACAAAGGACCTGAAGGCCCCGACCACGGCTCTCACACGTCTCCAAGCACGTGACAGGCGACCGTAAGGTAAAAACCGGTGTATCTCGAACCTTATAAAGATCTAACGGCCCAGGAAGGTACAGATGGGGCCCGAGGCCTCACGTCCATGACCCTCCTAAACGACTGTGCCTGCGCAATCTGCCTCGAACCTCTCCAGCTCGGAGACCAGCTGATTTTTATGACCCCATTAAAACTGCAGAATTTACCTGTTCAATATTTGACCAAAAATATTCTATCTCTCGAGCAGTTGAGGCAGCTATCCGTCTTAATCTGTTCTGTTCTTCTTTCTTTCCTCTTTCCTCACGAAGCTTCTTTTCTTCATGATGGCGTGCTACGGTCCTAACCAGCTAGTAAATAAAAGTGCAAGAATTTTATGTCGTACTTTATGTCATGCTAAGAAAAAAGTATAAAGTTTTTTTAAAATCTTCTCAGCCTAAAATTACATATAATTCACTGTCAGACACACCCTCATATGCTCTTAGAGTGCACCAGGAGAAACAATATAAGCAAAAATCACCATCAACATTGTGCTTGATTTTTCTACAACGTGTTATGTTACTGACACATACATTATTCTCAAAAAATGAAATAGCAAGTATGCTACAATCTTCCTTTCCCATTTAATATATGATTAACATCTTTCCATCCAATAAACATTCATCACCACCAGTTTTAGTGGACTAAACAGTATTTCATTTCATGAATGCTGCAAAATTTATTTAATTCCTAAGCATAAAAATTGTTGGATTAGGATAATTCACATTTTTAAGACTTTTGCTTAAAATTGCAAAACTGCTTTCCGGAAGTTTATACTCTTTACATACCCACAAGCAGAACCTCAAAGAAATAGTGAAAAGTAAATTAAAATGAGAACGTCGGCAGAGCCCTGAGCACACAATCTCTGCTGCCCCAGCCCAATTCTAGGAGCAGAAATGTGCTCAACTTCGGGGGCACCGCATGTGGCACCCGCACGCACCCCCTGATGGGTCTCACCATCCTGGACACATGCTCTCGCCTGGGCGGGCAACCGCGTGCTCCCTGCAAGCCCAGCGAGAAGAGGCAGGCATGGGAGGGCAGGTCTTGCTGCAGGCGACCACTCGGCGTCCAGAGCAGGCCCCAGCCTGCATCCCGCGGTGCCCAGCTGCTCCTCAGCCCCAGCCCCGCCAGTGCCCACCCCACCCCCAGCAACCAGCCCGCTGCCCCATGCCCGGCCTCCCACCCCGTCCAGCCCAGTGTCCACATGTCCAGGACCATCTCCCGTGTGGAAAAGGAAAGGCTTACAGAACAATCGAGCTTTTCCTGAAATGCCCATGAATCGGACTCAAGACCCTATACTCTGAACCCACTGCTCCCCTGTGTGGTGTCGGCTTTTCTCTACCACCTCAACGGGGACAATGAGGGGAGATTCAGGGGAGCGAAGCAGGCAGGACAGGGGACAAAGGGTCGACCCACAGTCTTCAGAGTATAGGAAACATGAAGAGCGAGCCGAGGGCCCCCCACACAGGCAGTGACATGGTGACAAGGGCTCGTGGCTGTTCCCACACGGAAAGGACAGCTGCTCCCACTCCGAGGCCTGAGCGTCCTAGAACCTGTCACGTGTTCTTCCTTGCTAGTGTTAGCAGTGGGACTTCAGAGTCCCCCCAAGGACTATGCCTGTGCAGGGAACAGAAAGGAGCAAACGAATGCTCGAGCAGAACTGGAAAGAGCCAGACCAGAGCCCCGGCAGGGAAGGGCAGGCTGGCGGTGGGCGGGCAGGAAGGCCGGGAAACGGCCCCCCGCTGCCCTGTACCAACTCCTGCCTCCTCCTCACTCTCAGCCTGCTCAGCCCTGGCCAGTCCTGATCCTTCCTACCTGCCAGGCAGGCCTGGCAAGAAACGGAACCCGAATCCCTCACCAGAGCTGCAGGGGGGACCCACCTGCTCCTGTCCCAGGTCAGTCACCCGGCACGGTTACTCTCCAGGCAGCAGGGACGCGTTGCTCCCACACACCCAGAGTCAAAAGCCTCCAGAGAGCTGGTCTGCAGGCCCACCCACCTGCAGCATTCGAACTCCAGCCACCATCAGCAGATGCAGGACAGAGGCTGCCTGCACGGCAAACCCACCTTCTTGGCGGCGGCCACCTTCCACCTGCGCTCCTGGGCGAAGTCCGTGGCCATCCACTGCGCCTCCTCCAGCAGGTAGTCCCAGTGGGATTTGGGGCGCGGGGCCTCCTGCAGCTTCGGCAGCCGCCTCAGGGACCACAGACCTTCTTTCCTTAAATCCGCTATGCGCTGGTGGACCTGGTTCTCCTGTAAGCAGCATACAGGGGAGCAGGGTCAGCACGTGCCGACTGTGTGCACCCACAAGTCAGACCCCCATGCGTGAAACGCCACTGTGAGCAACACTCGGCTAGATGCCGAGGGGAGTGAGCTCACGGAGGTCACGGTTCAGTAACAAAGACTATACTCGGACAGGAGGTCACGGTGCTCGGAGAGCACAGAGGAAAGAGCATGCGACTCTCCCAGAAGCCTTAGAAGCCGGAGCGACAGTCCCACCCCACCTCTAACCATGAAATGTAAGGACGATGTTTATAGCACAGTCTATACGAGGAAACATATGATGCCCGGAATTGGCTTCCAAACAACACGGGAGGAGAGCAGACGAAACGAGCAGCTGCCCGCGGATCGTTATGGAAAAGCTGCACAATGAGGCGCATCGGAGCATGACATCTGACTGTAGTGACATATGTTTCTTTTTGGTCCCCTGATGAAGCTGAACAAATGAATGCTAAGTGCCGGGCAGTGGCTCTGGAAGACAGGGGACAGGCCTGGGGATGCGGGGGCCTCGCGGCCCGAACTCCCAGCCCGACTGCTACACACGCTCGCCTGTCCTGCCCTGGGCCAGGGCCTGCTACGAAGGCAGCGCCACCCAGACTGCTAACTGTGTCTCGAGAAAGCGGACTTTCTCCACAGGAGTCTGCTTCCACCACATGGGGCTAAACCGCGTGGTTTTAATGCTGTTTCTACTGATCACAAACCACGTTCGCTCGTCCTTACTCTCAGGCGTTCAGCTTTAAACCATCACGTTCCTACAAATTACAGTCAAACGTGCTTCACCAAACGGAGCACGTCTGTGACTCTCTTCGGCATGCTTACCAGCGCTATCTGCTCCGCCAGCTTGTCCTGGGCGCCGTCCTGGGAGGAGGTGGCACTCTGCGCAGGGCTCTGTGGTTTCGGGGGGGCCGATGCCGCCACCCCTGGCGCCCGGGAGGAGACTGGAGAGAGAGCCTTGCTGGCCGCTGAGGAGGGTCTGCTCACGGGAGAGGAGCGGGCAGGCAAGGGTCCCGGGCCCGAGCCGCTCGCAGGCGCCAGGGCTGAGGTAGAAGAGGCGGGCAGAGACCGCGGGCAGGGCGGGGCAGGGTCCGCAGGTGGCCTTGTCGTCACCGTCTAGCAGGCAGATGACAAGCGGGGCGGGGTCAGGACAGGGCTCCAGGGCAGGACCCGGTGCCAGAGCGCTCACACCCCCAGGGACACGTGCGGCCAGGGCCCCCTCTGCAGCACCGGCCGGCACCACCCTCGAGCCACAAGGAAAGCCACACGCCAGACTCTGTCTACAAAAGCACAACATCGTTTTCTTTCCACAAAACCAAACAAGATCTCTGTACACACAGTCTTCGTGTCTTAGAGCGCACGTGTTTTCTTTTTTTTGCTTTTTCTCTATTTTTAGACTTTCTAACTTTTAATTGTGTGAGCTTTTTCCTAATTGAAAAATACCCAGTGCTCATCCAGCACCTTCTCTCTGAAGGGCGAACAAGTTCCGCGCGCCTCTCATCACAGGCAGGCTTTAAGGGCGGCAATCCTCCTACAACGCCGGGACCAAAGACTGGAACCCACGGGGAACCCCACAGGGAGGGAGGGGCGGAGAGCAGGGAGGCGCAGCCGGAACGGGAGGGCTGGGTGCCGACCAGCACCCACGGTCGTCATCACCTGACGCAGAGAGAAGGCACAGCTAGAACTCCTCTCTCCAAGTCACTGCATCTTGCTCGTCCCCCGCCTCAGGGGTCGGGAACCTGGGCCACACGGTTTGGAAATTAGCTTTCGCTGGAGCGCGGCTGTGCCCGTTCACTCACGTGTTCTCTGCGGCTGCGTCTCACTCCCTCGACAGGCACTGCGCACCGCAGAGCGGGACATTCACTACCTGGCCCTTGATGGGAGGTCTGCCACCCCCTGCCTGACTCACAGGTAACACATTCCTGAAAACTTCGTAAAGAGCTTCTCTAAAACCATTTTCCACGGCTGCTCTTTTCAACAACACAGGTAGGTAAATTAATCTAAGAAAACCACAGAGCTGCTGTAAGTCAATGAGAGAAAGTGCTGGAAAAAGAATCACTTCCACGAAAGTCTAAAACAAGCAACGGCCTGAGGTGCTGAGGGCGGCTCAGCTGCCCTGGGTGTGCGCAAAGCTGCCACGCAGACCTGCACGCAAGGCTCCAACCTCGACCCGGGGCCCGTCACAGCCCTCCAGCTACTGTCTGTTCTCGCCTCAGTTTTTTCCATCCATAAAATGGGGATAATAAAGATTCCACCTCACAGGTTTGCTAGGTAGAAAAAATAAAATAATGCCAATAAATTCCTCATCACAGTGCCTGACACCTCAGCTCACAGAGGTGACCAGTAAGTGATAGCTAATATTGATTATTATTCTTTTATCATCATATACTCCAGACTTTGCCTTAAATCTCAAATAATCATACAGAACTTGAACTCAAAGCCCACCGAGGAACTCCCCTGTTGATGAGGGAGGGCGAGGGGCCAGGGAGGTTTCTGAAGCGGCTCTGCCACACGCTGATGTGAGTCGAACGATGGGCAGAGGTGACTCTCTGAACACCCCTCTCCCCTGCAGAGGCTAACAGATGGTTCAGCCCAGGCTGTCGGATTTCACTGCTCTTTGGGAACCAAAACCAGCTTTCTGTGTATGTTCCAAAAACACACCTGGGTAAAATTAATCAGTGGAGCGGGAGGGCCATTTTAAATCCCAGGAATGTGTATCAAGCCGGAGAGGAATGACTCACACACATCTGCAGAGCGTACAGTAAAGGAACACAAGGCACCCATGGAGGACGCCCAGGGGTGGTCAGGAGCATGGCTTTGCACTTGGACAGAGCTAGCACCTGGCTCTCCTCACCGCACCGCCACGTAGCCTGGGATCAGGCCCCCAATCTCTGAGCCTTCGCCTGCACACTGGTAAAATAGGCCACGCCACCTACCCGGGAGCTACTGGGCAGACTGAAAGGATAACTGACACGTGCCCTTCCAGTGTGGGTCAGCGGTGCAGGCTCCTGCGCCAAGAGCAACAGCAGCAGCTTCCCATTATTTTAATAATGACAACTATTATTATAGAGCCAAATAAAATTATGTTACAACTACTCAATTAACCAATTGTTCTAAAGTGGGGGAGCAAACTGCTAAGAAAAAAATGGACAAATTACAATATTGTGCACCACCCTGTCAAATACACAGATGGCAAGCCAACTCTGCAAACCGTTTTTCCTTCCTGTCCCACATCTAACAAAATACCAATGTCCAGAGTACCTGAGGCAGGGACGGAAGCTGAGCGGCCTGCACCTGCGCCTTCCCGGGCGTGGGGACATGGAGGCTCAGCTGTGCGGGCTGCGGAGGAGCAGCGGGCTGGCTGGGTGGGGGCGCTGGCACGGGGGTGTTCGGCTGCTGAGTCTTCACCGGGATGTGGAGCTGTGACTGAGCTTCCACCGCCTGTGGCTGCTGAGCCAACTGCAGCGGGGAGGGAAGGGCCGAGGCAGGGACACCGGCTGCGGGCAGCCTTCCGGGCAGCTGCGGCGGCGGGGTGTGCAGGCTGGCGGCGTTCTGCACGGGAGGCCCCGTGGAGGGGTCATACTGCTGCTGACTCTGTTTCTGTCCAGTGAGCTGCGCGGCCTGAGGGGTGGGGGGCATTCCTCCTGCAAAATAAGAAAAACCCTGAGAGAGCTCATTTCCAAGTGAGTCACAAGGGAACGCACGACATCCCAGTGATTGTCAAAGACCCACCATACACTCACACAGGAAATCAGCGTTCTATTAGATCTAGTGTCACGCATGAGCACACAAAAAGGAAAGAAAGGCACTTGACCTCTGCAAGTCAGCATCAAGCAAAACGAGTATCAAATAACCACAGGGTGCCCCTACGACAGCAGCAATTAAGAAAAACACAGGAGTAAAAACTGCTGAAAAGCACAGTGACAATGAGATGTGTGGCTCCCATCAGAGGGACACGAACGTGGTCTCCGGGGGCTTTTCACACGGTATCAATTGGGACTCAGAGAAATACCCCAATTTTAGAAACTTCACTTCCAGTATACTACCTCCACTGCACGAGTTTTGGGACTGGTTTTTACAATCTCTACACACTCCCTCTTTACGTGCTGAAAGAGCCAGTTCTAAAGCTAGGTCTTACCTTGTGCTGTCGGCATTAACTGCTGGAGAGGGACTCCTGTGTTCACCCCCGGGTGCTGGAAAGCTACCCCTTGAGGACCCACTTCAAGTCGAGGTCTCTTAGACTGCTCTAGAATAATTTTCAAAAAAGGTGGAGTTTGATGTAAAAATAAAATCACAAAAGTAGTAGAAAAAACATGTGTACGTGTTCTTATAATCTTTGAACAGGGAGGCCTTTCTATGCATGAACTAAAATCCAGAAGCCACGAAGGATAAGGCTGATAAATATAATTTCTTTTCATTAAAAATCTGCCAATATAAAAAAAAAAACATCATAAAGAGGCAAAGGATGAGCAGCAACCTGAGAGACGACACTACAACGGGTGTTGCAGAGGCTGACGTACTCGACACTCAGAGAGCACTTAACAGTGAACACGGAGGGGGGCGGGTGGGGCCGCAGCCAGCCAGACAGACAGAACAGGCAGAGAGGACAAACAGCCAGCAGAAGAGCAGATTCACAGATGGTCAGCAAACACGGAACAATGCTGTGCAACCTTACTCAAAACTAAAGAAACCCACATCAGAACAAAGATAAAACTTTTCAGCCATTACATGAACAAAAATTAAAAGATTTATCCATACTTAATAAAATGATCAAAATGTGAGAGCGGGAATTGCGGATGGTAATGAAAAGCGCGATTTAGCACCATCGATGCTCAATTACACGTGCACTTTGACCGGGCAATTTCATTTCTAAGAGTTTTTCCTTCAGATACAATGAAAAACATGCAGAAAAAAATACATGAGACTGGATGTTCGATCCTTTGCCGACTGTAATGGAAAACGGTGGCCATAACAAATGGACACTGACGAGGGTCTCACTGAGGAAGAACGAGCACCACGGAACACCGCGCAGCCCTCACAAAGAATGGGGTGCGCGGCTCGGAAGGGTATTTCTATGCGCAGACAGAAGATGTCTGTGAGAACGCACGAAACATTAGCGGCGGCTACGCTGCGGCCGGGGCCTGGGCAGGCACCAACCAGAGGCGGACGTATGTTACACCCTCCTTAAGTGTCTGAATCTTTTACATGAAAAGGCATTAAGTTTACAATTTGAAGAAAAAATTCAGTTTAAAAAATGACAACTTTAAAAAGCAGATTTTATATTTAATCATCATGATGACTGAAGAGCCTACACACGGTACATCAGAACAGAGTACACCTGTTCCACTGGAAAACTTCTAACTTCTGTACACACAAACACATAAATATTTTGCTCAGCTGATAATCACCAAAAGAAAAATAAACTTTCAAAGTAGGAAGAAAACTAAGTTCTTTAGCATTCGCTCTGCAGAAACACGCGGCAACCGCCCACGATAGCCGCGGGAGGAAGCGGACTTCGGGGGCACGGCTGCCGACGTACCTGCGGGGGGCACCGCCTGCTGCCTCTTGAATGGGTCCGTCTCCACTGCGCCTCCAGCCCCTGCCACCAGGCTCCCTGCGAGGGCTTGCTGCTGGAAAAGAATGAAAAACATGAGATGATGATCATTTAAGGGCATTACAAGAATGAATATAAACTAAAACTGCAATAATTACCCCAAGCACTGACCTCATTCCTTTTTAATAGATGTTATCTACCCAAGGTCTTTAAATATACACTTATAATATGTATTTATATAGTATTTATGTATAATAAATATTTTGAAATTCTAACTTACCTCGGAAGGGGGAAAAAGACTTGTAAAAGATGTATTATTCTGGTTTTAAATGGAATTTCAAATAAATGCAAATCTACAGTCCTTCAGAAACTGACTGGCTTTGCATGTCGAAAGACAACACAAGGCTAATTTGGGGAAACATCAGTCTCAGTTCCGAGACAACAGCTTAGCTGACCTAATCAGTCACACCGCCTACCATAACTGCACATAAATAAAAAGAAAGGTTAAATTGTATTCCCACTGGAAAATGACACTGAAACCCCAATTAATAACGATCTAACTTGGATCTTCAAAACGGTATTTCTATAATTAGCACCCCACTTGATTTATGGATATGTGAAATTATAAATGTTACTTAAATGCTTAAAGTGAAAGAGCAGATCTGAAAGGCTACATGCGACATGATTCCAACCCCACGACATTCTGGAAAAGGCAAAACTAGAGAGACAGTAAAAAGGTCAGGGGTTGCCAGTGGCAAGGTGGGAGGCAGGAGGACGAACAGGCAGAGCACAGGCGGTTCTCAGGGTGGTGACGCTGCTCTGCATGGTGCTGCAATGGTGGGTTCATGTCATCACACGTGTGTCCAAACCCACGGAGTGTACCCCGCCGGGACTGAACCCCACTGTAAACCACAGTCTCTGGGTGATCATGCCGTGTCGACGGGGGTTCATCAAGCGTCACAAATGGACGCTCTGGTGGTGGATGCCGGCCAGGGAGGAGGCCGTGCGTGCGGGTGGGGGTGGGGGAGAAATGTCTGTGCCTTCCTCTCAACTCTGCTGAGAACCTAAAACTGCTCTAAAAAATAAAATCTTTTAAAAAAGGTTTACATGAGAAGCTGCTGGCATGTTATTTTACAAAGATGGAAACTGGCCAAGTCTTGGTCAGCACAGATTTAACCCTGACGCTTTTCCATCTGGTCACTGTTCTTGCAATCACAGCAAATGCTGAGGATGGTACATCACAATCGCTAGTTGCCAAATTATTCTTTAATTGATTCCAATTATATCTACTCTACTTAGGCATTTTAAATGCAAAAAATCACAGACACCTAAGCAAAGTAACTACTGGACGAGACTGTCCTGCAGCCACACACAGCCACTGCGAACCAGGCTGGGGTGAGTCACTCGCATGAGGAAAGGCTTAGCAAGAGTTATTCAAAGGAAAAATAAGCAACAAAACGGTGTGTGTGGCACGATGACACACCATTTACATTTAACAGAGATGGGGAGGAAAGAAAAGAGAAGGGGACAGAGAGACGGACAAAGAGAGGGAGGAAGGAAAGAGGAACAGTTTGAAAACAAGCAATGTGTTGTTAACGATGGCATCTCGGGGCAGGGTTAGAGGTACGTGATTTATATGTGTGCACTTCTCTAGATTTTTCAAATGTTCTGCAATGAACATGTACTACTTATATAATCACAAGAAGTTATTTTTTTAATAAAAGAAATGGATGAAGGGCTCCAGTAATGGCCAAGTACTTCCTAGCAGACCAAACGTACTTCAGACGAAATATAAAAAATATGAAAAGGTAGGCGGCAGACGATACAGGAAAGGAAGTGACAGCTCCAGGAAGAGACACGCAGTCCCCCTGGCTTGAAGAGCAAGGACAGAGAGCAGGAGACCCCACGTGCTCTCCCTGGTCTCTGCCACATCTCTGCTGACTCCGATACCGTGCGCACACCGACAGGGTCCCCGCCAAGGCCAGAACACTACGCTGAGACCTCAGGTGCCACCTACCACAGAGTGTTCGCAGCTTCGACTCAATAAAGTTAGCTAAGTGTTAGTAAAGCAAAACAATCACTACTCTTCAGAAGAACGTAACAGGACCCAGGGTTTCTACACGTCATTCACAACTGTCCAAAATCCAATTCAAAACTACCCCGAAATACAAACAAGAGAACAGGAGCCATCCTAACAGACAAGCGATGGACACCACCCCCAGGAGGACCCACCGACTGGAATTCCTGACAAGGATTTCAAAGAGCCTTTAATACGTACGCCCAAGGTCATAAAGAAAAATATATTTTTCTACAAATAAAGGACAAGACGAAATCCTGACAGAAATACAGAAACTATTTTTAAAGAGAGCCAAATGGAGATTCTAGAACTGAAAAATAAAACATTTGGAATACAGCACTCACTGGGCAGGCTTAACAGCAGTGCAGGGATGGAGAAAGGCAGTGAACTTGAAAACAGGAAGAGAAGAGCCCAGTGAAGGACCTGACTTCGAGGCGCCCCCCAAGGCTCCCCAAAACAGGACGGCGTGGCCCTGGCGCATGGACCAGCAGTCAGATGGAGAGATCGGAACGCGGTGCCAAGGAACAGACCCATCCTCACACAACCACGTGATTTTCCAAAGGCTCCAAAGCAATTCAAATCCATGGGGAACGGAAAGTCTTTTCAACAAAGGGTGCTGGAACTAGATATCCACATGAAAAACTGATAAACCGGACTTCGCCAAAAGGCACGGGAGGAAGGCCCATGCTCCCCCTCCCCCCACCATGGTTGGCGCTGCGGCTCTCCCAGGGGACTCGGGAGGCGCACACCGCACTCGCCACTGTGGCCCGCAGAAGAGACAGGAGCTCCTCCAGGCGGGTGGACACCCATCTTCCGTTTTCAAAATGACTTCTATTATCATCGTATTCTGTCTTCATGAATATTTTATTGGTAAAGATACTATTTTTAAAATACAAACTTGATCTTAACTAAAATCCGTAATTATAACTCTTCTAAAAAGAAAGAAAAATTCCTACAAAGAAAAGAGATGCTCTAATAGAAATCTAATTCTGTGTGCCCGTTTCAACAGGGACTATGTCAAAACGGAGTTTGTCCACAGAAGATTTAATCTAATTTACAGAGATCCTGGAAATTACACCAGAAAAAGAGCAGTGGAAGGAAGTGGAGATGTGTAGTTCACAGAAAAGACAACTAGGAATGTTTGCCACCTATACGTTCTGAGAAATGTGCTCAAAAAAAAAAAAGAAAAAAGAAAAAAAATTGAACAAAAAAATGAAAAAAATTAATAATACATTAAAAAAGAAAAAAGTAAAAAAAGAACGTTCTCCACTAAAAGAGGAATAGACTCACGCTATTCTGGAGGAAGAAACCGAGACCAGCAGTAGTTAGTGGTTACTAGAAGGCAAATCTCTGCCCAATTAAAATAAACAAATAATTAAATAAACTCACTTTAACCTAACAGGGACCACGGCCTTTGCAGGACTGGGCGCTCGGTCACTGGCAGGGCAGGACGGAGTCCAGGTACTCCCTGAATACCTTCAAAGGACACCCCTGTAACTGGAGGGGACGAGGTGACCCAGGGTCTCTCTTAACTCAAGACCCTAAAAGAAGTCCTGCCACATTTAACCTTGGAAGAGGGCAACTGAGGAAAGCACAAAAAAACTGTGCTCTTTCAAAAAGTATGTATATTAAAACAAGTTAAGATGCCACTTTATACCTATAAACTTTTAACTGTACACATAACAATATGAACACGTGTAAGATAATATAAAAAGCAACAGTCGGCATAAATGTTTATCAGGTCTAGTTGGTTTATAGTGTTGTTCAAGTCTCTGTTTCCTTGTTGATCTTCTGCCTAGTTGTTCTGTCCATAATTGAAAATAAAATATTAAAGACCTCAAAAAAAAAACAAACCAATAATTGGGTTAGGATCACAGAACCATAAATAATTATTCATTTTCTCTAACATTATAGTCACTGAAGAAAATTCTCCAAATCAGGATAGTTTTATAACATATAAATAACTATAATAATATCAGTATTATTATATATACAATAACTGTACTCAATAATACTACCCCAGAACCTTTTGGAAACAGAGAGAAAATATTAGTAATACCTGCAATACTGAGAACTCTAGATTTATATCTAGAGTTTAATTTGTATAATTACTTTATCATAAAAATCCTACAGTTGTTTGCAAATAACGAAACTCATCCTGAAACTATGTGTTAAACTCTTCTTAGAATACTTACCAGGGCTGGCAAAACCACAGCGACAAAACTGAGACCACGTGCCTACATCTAGCAGCAATTTTAGCTGAACCCAAAGTGGTGCATGGTGAGCACCGTGAACTCACTAACACTGCTCCTAAGAATTATTTCTAAATAAAAGACATGGCCAGAATCAGCGAAATGGCTAAGTGAATCAGTCCTCCAATTCCTGGCGCATTCGCAGCCGTTCCACTAAGAACTATTAAAAGCGAATGAAATGTAAAAGAATATTTGCTAAACAAAATAACAAAACAAAAAAGTGTAAATACACTTGTTTCGCCTGGTATATACGTAACATAACATAAAATGTCATCGTGTTAGGATGATGGCATTATGGAGAATTATCTTCTCTAACAGGAAAATGACTGGAAAAAACTCAATTTAGAACGGTTCTTTTATAAATAAATGTGCACATGTCTGTTTACATTTTGTATACAACAGCTCTGCTCCCAATACTACCACCTGAAAATCTTTTGGAAATAGAAATTAATACATATATAATACAGAGAATTCTGAATTTATTTCTGGAATTTCACTAGTCAATATAAATTAGTCAATTAAAAAAATTCTACAATTGGCTATAAATAATAAAACTCATATGGAGTTTTTTCCCCCAAAGAAAGGATATGTTTTTCATTTCAACTCTTACTTCCCTAGACATTCACTAGTATTTGCCTCAAAAATCTGTAACTCGAAATGGAGGCTCCTTGGTTTTCCTTTCTGTCTTATAATTCATTATGAATTATACATATAAATTATAAAAGATACATATGTGACTTTAAAGCC